GAGCCAGGCCTTCTGCAGGATAGGAGAAGTTGTCATGTATTTACTGGGAACCCTGAGTTAATTTGCACAAGTCTTTGAAGTTTTTCTTTTAAATTAAAAATAGGCACAGATATCCTGTTTGCCTCCATGTGGGGCAGGGGAATGGAGACCAAAGAGAGGAACAAGAACCCACTTGCCACCCCAAATCCACTTTCTGCTGTTAGAGGAGTCAGATAACTGGGAAAGCTGAGGTGGAACATTCAAAGGGATAACTTGAGGGACATTGAATACAGGGCCTTCTTCCAAAATGTGGGCAGGATTTGGGGAGATCCCAGGTGATAGAATAATATCCCAAGTTCTTAAGAGCAGAAGCAAACCTGTATTCTGTAGCTTGTGTGGATGGCATCACCCACACATCCCTGTGTGCTGATCCTACTGGTGGTTCAGCCCATGAAAGGGGGAGTCAGGAGGAGAGAGACGTGAGAGTTCATGCTTTCTTTGCTGGTCACAGTTTGGGCAGAGCTGAGGTCTCCTAAGACCTCATCGGGTAGCTTGCATCTTTGGCTGCAGCTCGTGCTGGCTGCTATAGTAACAGGGTTCATGCCTCTTGTCCCTTATATCTGAGGGGAACAACTTCCCTATATTACTGGTTCCCAGGTGTGTCAACAGCCCTTTGGGTCACCACAACTTTCCCACATTTCTATAAATATACCCTTCACTAATCTTCCTTTAATGATAGACTTTAAGGTTGCCTTCTGTTTTCCTCCAGGATCTCAGGGGATACAGAATACACATGAGTATATGTAAGCCATCCTAGCCCAGAGCAGTGAGATCTGTGTAAAGGGACTGAATCTTATGGAAACACTCATTCCTCTCTGGGTGAGTAGAGTATAGTACTCCATATGCTACCTTTCTCTAACAAGAGAACCCAGAGTAGCAACAGTTCCCCATTCCTGGAAGTGCTCAGAACTGGCAGGGATGTCAAACAAGATCCATGAGCATCATTTGGTGGATGAGTTGGGTTAAATTAGATATGCAGCCTCTCTATCTTTTGCAGTCATTAATCTCCTGTTCTCATTGTTTGGCAGTTGTTTTGTTTTGGTTTTTTTAACCAAGGCAGTGGGTTTCTTATTTTGGGTTTCCCCCAGAACACACACTGACCCATGGATTTGAATACTGTGAGTGAATAGGAAACTGATACATGAGAAAAGAAAGATCATAAAATATGTGCTCATGAATAGGTTATTTCTCTTCAGTGGTGTTTCTTATCTGTCTTTTTTTTTTACCTATAGTAATACTTTATTTTTTTCTTTTCTTTTCTTTTAATCTTTGTTCAAGTACAGTTTTCTCCCTTTTACTCCCATTCCAGCCCACCCACCCAATCCTCCCCACTTCCCTCCCATTACCACCCTCCCCCTAGTTTTTGTCCATGTGTCCTTTAAATTTGTTCCTGTAAACCCTCCCCATTCTCCCCTGAAATTCGGTCTTCTCTCCCCTCTAGTCACTATCAGCCTGTCCTCTATTTCAGGGACTTTGGTTATATTTTGCTTGTTTCTTCTTTTGTTCTTTAGGTTCCTGTTAAAGGTGAGATTATATGGTATTTGTCTTTCACTGCTTGGCTTGTTCCACTTAGCATAATGCTTTCCAGCTCCATCCAAGCTGTTGCAAAGGGTAGGAGCTCCTTCTTTCTTTCTGCTGCATAGAATTCCACTGTGTAAATGTACCATAGTTTTTTGATCCATTCATTTACTGATGGGCATCTTGGTTGCTTCCAGCACCCAGCTATTGTAAATTGTGCTGCTATGAACATCGGGGTGCAAAGGTTCTTTTGTATTGGTGTTTTATGGCTCTTAGGATATAGTCCCAGCAGTGGAATTGCTGGATCAAAAGGCACATCCATTTTTAGTTTTCTGAGGAAGTTCCATACTGCTTTCCATAGTGGTTGTACCAGTCTGCAGTCCTACCAACAGTGCACTAGGGTCCCCTTTTCTCCACAACCTCTCCAACACTTGTTGTTTGTTGCTTTGTTTATGATGGCCATTCTGACTGGTGTGAAGTGGTATCTCATTGTGGTTTTAATTTGCATCTCTCTGATAGCTAGCGACATTGAACATCGTTTCATGTGTCTTTGGATTTTCTGTATGTCCTCCTTGGAGAAGTGTCTGTTCAAGTCCTTTGCCCATTTTTTAATTGGGTTGCTTGTGTTCTTAGAGTGTAGTCATGTAAGTTCTCTATATATTTTGGAGATTAAACCCTTGTCTGAGGTATCATTCGCAAATATGTTTTCCCATACAGTTGGTTCTCTTTTTATTTTGATACTGTTTTCTTTAGCTGTGCAAAAGCTTTTTATTTTGATGAGGTCCCATTTGTTTATTCTTTCCTTTATGTCTCTTGCTCTAGGAGACACGTCAGTAAAAAAGTTTCTTCGTGAAATATCTGAGATTTTCCTACCTACATTCTCTTCTAGGACTTTAATGGTGTCATGTTTTATATTTAAGCCTTTTATCCACCTTGAATTTATTTTTGTATAAGGTGTAAGTTGGTGCTCGAGTTTCATTTTTTTGCACTTAGCTGTCCAGGTCTCCCAACACCATTTGTTTAAGAGGCTATTTTTATTCCACTTTATGTTGCTGCTTCTTTGTCAAATATTAATTGACTCTATAGACGTGGGTTTATTTCTGGGCTCTCTGTTCTGTTCCATTGGTCCATGTGCCTGTTTTTGTGCCAGTACCAGGCTCTTTTGATTACAGTGGCCTTGTAGTATAGTTTAGTATCAGATATTGTGATCCCTCCTACTTTACTCTTCTTTCTCAAAATTGCAGCAGCTATTCGGGGTCGTTTATGGTTCCATATAAATTTTTGAAGTGTTTGTTCTATGTCTATGAAATAAGCCACTGGTACTTTAATAGGTATTGCATTGGATGTGTAAATTGCTTTGGGTAGTATGGACATTTTGATGATATTAATTCTTCCGATCCATGAACACGGTATATGTTTCCATTTGTTTGTGTCTTCCTTGATTTCGTTCCTCAGTGTTATGTAGTTTTCTGAATACAGGTCTTTTAACTCTTTGGTTAGGTTTATTCCTAGGTATTTTATTTTGCTTTTTGCTATTTCAAATGGGATTTTTCCCTTGATTTCTGCTTCTGCTCTTTCATTGTTGGTGTACAGAAATGCCTTTGATTTCTGGATATTGACTTTGTATCCCGCTGTTCTGCCAAATTCATTTATTAGGTCAAGTAGTTTTTTGGTGTAGTCTATAGGATTTTCTATGTACACTATCATGTCATCTGCAAACAGTGACAGTTTTGTTTCCTCCTTTCCGATTTAAATGCCTTTTATTTCTTTTTCTTGTCTGATCATTGTGGCTAAAACTTCCAGTACTATATTGAATAGAAGTGGTGAAAGTGGACAGCCTTGTCTTTTTCCTGATCTTAGTGGAAAAGATTTTAATTTTTACCCATTGAGTATGATGTTGGCTGTAGGTCTCTCCTATATGGCCTTTAATATGTTGAGGAATGCTCCCTCTATTCCCACTTTGCTGAGTGTTTTTATCACAAATGGGTGCTGTACCTTATCAAATGCTTTTTCTGCATCAATTGATATGATCATGTGGTTTTTGTCTTTGTTTTTGTTTATGTGATGTATTACATTTACTGATTTGCAAATATTGTACCATCCTTGCATCCCTGGGATGAATCCCACTTGGTCATGGTGTATGATCTTTTTAATGCACTGTTGGATGCAGTTTGCCAGTATTTTGTTGAGGATTTTAGCATCAATGTTCATCAGCGATATTGGCCTGAAGTTTTCTTTCTTTGTTGTGTCTTTATCTGGTTTTGGAATTAGGATGATGTTGGCCTCATAAAAAGAGTTTGGGAGTCTCCCATTTTTTTGGATTTTTTGAAATAGTCTGTAAAGGATAGGGGTTAGCTCTTCCTTAAATGCTTTGTAGAATTCTCCTGTGAAACCATCTGGTCTAGGGCTTTTGTGTGTTGGGAGTTTTTTGATGACTGCTTCAATTTCTTTTGCTGTTATTGGTTTGTTCAGGCTTTCTGCTTCTTCTTCACTGGGTTTTGGAAGATTATATTTTTCTAGAAATTTGTCCATTTCACCTAGGTTTTCAAATTTCTTGGCATACAGCTCTTCGTAGTAATTTCTTACACTCCTTTCTATTTCTGTGGTATCTGTTGCAATCTCTCCTCTTTCATTTCTGATTGTGTTTATTTGGGTTCTCTCTCTTTTTTTCTTGATGAGTCTGCGTAAAGGCTTGTTGATTTTGTTTATCTTTTCAAAGAACCAGCTCTTGGATTCATTGATCCTTAGAATTGTGCTTTTAGTCTCTATGTGATTTAATTCTGCTCTGATCTTGGTTATTTCCTTCCTTCTGCTTGCTCTGGGCTGTCTTTGTTGTTGTTCTTCGAGTTCTTGTAGACGTAGGGTTAGGTTGTTTGTTTGGAATGTTTCTAACTTTTTTAGGTGGGCCTGTATCGCTATGAACTTCCCTCTCAGGACTGCCTTGGCTGTGTCCCATAAGTTTTGGGTTGTTGTGAGTTCATTTTCATTTGCTTCCAGATACCTTTTGATTTCTTCCCTAATACCATTCTTCACCCATTCATTATTTCATAGCATGCTATTTAACCTCCATGATTCTGAGTGTTTGGGGTTTTCTTCCTTGGGGTTGGTTTCTAGCTTCAGTCCCTTGTGATCCAAGAAAATGCTTGGTATGATTTCAATCTTTTTGAAATTATTGAGGCTTGTTTTTGTTATCTGTCTTGCACAGAGTTATGCACATCACCCCTGAGTGCTAAGTTCATTTCTATGAAATCCCACCAAATACGACTCTTTCTTCTCCACACAGACACCAGTAAACACTTATGCAAATGAACTGCATTAATTGGTTTCTTGACGATTACAGGAAGGAAATGTTGTTAAGAAAGCTCAGCCCTGAACAGCTTGTAAGCCCCAGTGACTGCGAGAAGGATTTTGTTTTATTTCTTTTTAAACTCATCTCCCAGCAGCACCCGGTACATTGAACCCAGTGTGCTTCTTCTTCAGGAAAAACAAGTAGCCCACAACAAAGCACTGGGAAACAGAGGCAAGAGAGACTGAGCTGCAGGCTGAACAACGTGAGTATACTTGATCTAATGGTTCCTTTGGGTAACTCAGGATGCTGGTATGATTTTTCTGACAAATGAAACTTACAATAATGTCACAGGATGAGGAGGGGACCCAGACTGGGTGTGCCTCAGGCCAGCCATAGTGTGTGTTCTCTTGACCTTGTATAGGAAAGATTTTATATCACAGGTCAAGTTGATTTTGAGAGTACATTTACTAACATTGACGACAGTGAAACAAATGAAGGATTTAGGGTGGAAGAAGCAGCAAGAGAGTACCTAGGTGGAGCTCTGCTTTGACTCCCTAGAAATGTTATTGAAAAGAAGTGAGCCACACTGGGCTGTGTGGACTCACTGAGAGGTAAAAGTCACAGTGACAGAAGTGAGTCAAGGCGGGGTTGCTTTTAGCTCACTGGAAAGTCAGAGAGAAAGGGGGCCTTGGAGACAGGTTCTGGGGATAAGCCAAGGATGAGCTGCTGCTGCCCTCTGCTGCCCTGGTTCCAAGTCTTGTGGGGACCCCTAGAGTTTAGGAGGAAGAAAGTAAAAAGTCCATGCTATAGAAAGACCGTAGGCATCCTCTAGAGTGAACTTGCACTGGTATTTTTTGTCTTGAAAGTTTTTATCTTTCTTCTGCAGGTGACAATCTTAGGGGAGGTTTCAGCAGAATACTTTTAACATGCTGATGCATGAAAATGATCATATAGGGGAGTTTGGGATTATTCTTTGATCTATTTTATTGGTTTACTTATCTTGGATCTCTCTGGCTCTAATCAGATGGTTTTTTAAAAATATATTTTATTGATTATGCTATTAGAGTTGTGCCATTTTTTCTCCCCTTTATTCCCCTCTGCCCCATACCCACCTCCCACCAGTATTCCCCCATCTTAGTTCATGTCCATGGGTTGTACAGATCAGTTCTTTGGTTTCTACATTTCCCACACTATTCCTAACCTCCCCCTGTCTATTTTGTATCTACTATTCATGCTTCTTATTCCCTGTACCTTTTCCCCAATTCTCCTGCTTCTCCCTCCTCGCCCACAACCCTCCATTTGGTCTCCATTTCTGTGAATCTATTCCTGTTCTAGTTGTTTGCTTAGTTCATTTTCATTTTTGTATTTTTTAGGTTTGGTTGTTAATAGTTGTGAGTTTGTTGTCATTATACTATTCATAGTTTTTGTCTTCCTTTTCTTAGATAAGTCCCTTTAACATTTCATACAATAAGGGTTTGGTGATAATGAACTCCTTTAACTTGACCTTATTTGGGAAGCCCAGTATCTGCCCAGCCATTCTCAGTGAGAGCTTTGCTGGATAGAGTAATCTTGGATGCAGGTCCTTGCCTTTCATGACTTCAAATACTTCTTTCCAGCCCCTTGTTGCGTGCAGGGTTTCTTTGGAGAAATTACCTTATGGTCTTTTGGGCACTCCTTTGTAGGTAACTGTCTCCTTTTCTCTTGATGCTTTTAAGAGTCTGCCCTTATCTTTAATCTTGGGTAATGTAATTCTGATGTGCCTTGGTGTGTTCCTCTTGGTGTGTTCAACTTCTTTGGAACTCTGAGCTTCCTGGAGTTGCTGGAAGTCTATTTCTTTTTGCCAGATTAGGGAAGTTCTCCATTATGTTTTCAAATAAGTTTTCAATTTCTTGCTCTTCCTCTTCTCCTCCTGGCACCCCTATGATTCAGATGTTGGAACTTTTAACGTTGTCCCAGAGGTTCCTAAACCCTCTTCATTTTTTTGAATTCTTTTTTCTTCATTCTGGTCTGGTTGAATGTTTCTTTCTTCCTTCTGGTCCAAACCATTGACTTGAATTCCCATTTCCTTCCTGTCACTCTTGGTTCCCTGTATATCTTCCTTCTTTCACTTTTCATAGCCTTCACTTTTTTCTCTATTTTGCAAGTATACTCAACCAGTTCTGTGAGCATCATGATTACCAGTGTTTTGAACTCTGCATCTGATATGTTGGCTTTCTCTTTATCACTTACTTGTATTTTCCTCTGGAGCTTTGATCTGTTCTTTCATTTGGGCCATATTTTTTGTCTTGGTGCACCTGTTATGTAGTAAAGGGGTAAAGCCTTAGGTATTTGCCAGGGTGGGGCAATTCACATCACTACTTTGTAGCTCTGTATGTGGGGGAGGGGTTAGAGAGGGAACAATGCCACTTGCTCCCCTCTTAGCCTTAGGTAATTTTAGCTTTCAGTCACTTCCTCTGCTACCCACAAGCAAAGTGGGCTCTTCTGGTGCTGATTCCCAGGTGGGTGGTTTTGTGTGCATTCTAGGACCCTGTGTGTCTCTTCAAGGAACTCTCTTGTAGGGCTGGGAGTTTCTCCCACTACCGCATCATCCACAGGTCTTTTCAGTCAGAGGTTTTGAAGCTTTATTTCCTCATGCTAGACCCTGGGTTGTGTGGTCTGTGTCGCTCCTCAATTGTTCCTCCAGGTTTATTTGCATGTAAATGTGGGAGAGCATATTCTGCCAGCTGCTGCATCACTGGCCCTGGTCCTCCAGCCACTGCCTTGCTAGGAGTACTCCCCACCTTGCTGCCCATCTCCCCTCCTCATACCTATCTGGATGAATATTTCTTCAACTCGAAGGTCATTGGACTTCCATACACTTTGATTTTATGGCAGTTTTGCTTATTTTTTGTTTTTAAATTTGTTGTTGTCCTTCTTTTGGTTGTGAGAGGAGGCAAAGTGTATCTACCTATGCCTCCATCTTGACCCATAATCAGTTTTTTGTTCCTTGTTGCCCTGACTTCATGCATCTCAGGGTTTGGCTGGCACAGATGCCATTATTAGGGTTCCTATCCTCTATCTCTCACCAAGGTAATTTAAACTATTTACTCATGGATCAGAGAGGAAAGGTATGCACCATTTGTTCTCCAGTGTTCTTGGTTAGGAAAATGAGGTTTTGTGAGTCACTAGCTGTATACTGGTCAACTTGTTTGGCCTTGTTTAATCTCAGTTTTCCCATCCACACCATTAGAAATGTTTCTAGCTTCTAATGATTCTGCCTTATTTCTTCCTCAGACACTTCCATTTCTGAAGTCTTTGGGGGGCGATGAGGGAGAAGGACATGTCTTCAGTAACATCTTCCTACTGACAAGGACTGTCATCCCTGCCTATGTACGGTGAAGACACCTCTCCCTGCCTGCTGTAAGGGAGACATGGGAATGGGATCTGAGACCAGAACAGAGAGGCCATTGGCTGATTCTTCTAAAATAGGGATATGCAGGAATCCCCACAGAGTCATTGCCTTCACATGGAATTGAGGTATTTTAGAGGTAACAATTTAGACAAGAAAGTTAAAAAGGCATGGCCCTAAGTTGAGGAGAAGATCTATACTTAGGGAATCAAGGGTGGATAAAAACCAGGCAATAGTCTCCCAGATTAAGCTGGCAGAAGGGTTCCCCTTTCCAAAGTTATGAGTCCATGTGGCTTGGTCATAGATTTTTTAATATAGTTTCTTCTACTTGCCATGAAGAGTTAATACAGCAGGTTTTGTTTATGACGGCACACACCCCTCCTGTGCTAGTGAGTAACCAAGGGTTAATCTGTCATCTATTACAACATTAGCAACAGAATCTAGAGACTATTTTAAGTTTTGGAAAGCATGGACAGTACTTTTATTTTTTGGTTAGCTATACTGTCTGTTCAATTTTTTTACGTTTTTTTTTTATTGTTGTTCAAGTATAGTTATCTCCATCCCCCACCCAGTAGCTCCCAGCCCCAACCATCCCTGTCTCCCACCCTCAAACATACCTCCTTTGGCTTTGTGCCAGTGTCCTTTATACATGTTCCTTGATGGCCCTTCCTCTGTTTTCCCCCATTATTCCTCTGCCCCTTACCTCTGATTACTGTCAGTTTGTTCTTTCTTTCAATACCTCTGGTTATATTTTGTTTGCTTGTTTGTTTTGTTGATTACATTCCACTTATAAGTGAGATCATGTGGTATTTGTCTTTCACTACCTGGCTTATTTCGCTTAGCATAATTCTCTACAGGTCCATCCATGCTGTCACAAAGGGTAGTTCCTTCTTTCTTTCTGCTGTGTAGTATTCCATTGTATAAATGTACCATAATATTTTCATCCATTCATTTACTGATGGGCACTTAGTTTGCTTCCAGGATTTGGCTATTATAAATAATGCTACTATGAACATTGGGGTGCATAGGTTCTTTTGAATTGGTGTTTCAAGATTCTTAGGGTAGAATTCCAGCTGTGGAATTGCCAGGTCAAAAGGCAGTTCCATTTCTAGTGTTCTGAGCAAATTCCATAGTGCTTTTGACAGTGGCTACCCCAGTCTGCATTCCCACCAAGAGTATATTAGGGTGCCCTTTTCTCCGGAACCAGAATTTGTTGCTTGTTGATTTGTTTATGATAGCCATTCTGACCAGTGTGAAGTGGTATTTCATTGTGGTTTTAATTTGCATCTCTCTGATGGCTAATGATGCTGAGCATCCTTTCATATGTCTCTGGGCCTTTTGTATGTCCTCCTCAGAGAAGTGTCTGTTTAGGTTCTTTGACCATTTATTTGGGTTTTTTGTCTTCCTGGAGTGGAGTTGTGTGAGTTCTTTATATATTTCAGAGATCAAACTCTTCTCCAACGTATCATTTGAAAATATATTTTCTTATATGATTGGTTCCCTTTTCCTTTTGCTGATGTTTTCCTTGGTCATGCAGAAGCTTTTTATTTTGATGAAGTCCTATTTATTTATTCTTTCCTCTATGTTCGTTGCTCTAGGGAACATATCAGTGAAAATATTGCTGCATGGAATATCTGAGACTTTCCTGCCTATGTTTTCCTCTAGGACGTATATGGTATCATGACTTATATTTAAGTCTTTTATCCATCTTGAGTTTATTTTTATATACAGTGTAAGTTGGTGGTTGAGTTTCATTTTTTTGCATGTCCAGATCTCCCAACACTATTTGTTCAGCAGGCTATTTTTCCTCCTTTATAGGCTTCTTCCCCCTTTGTCAAATATTAATTGACCATGGAGACTTGGGTTTATTTCTGGGCCCTCTATTCTGTTCCATTGATCTATATGTCTGTTCTTATGCTAGTACCAGACTGTTTTGATTATTGTGGCCTTGTGATATAGTTTGATGTCAGGCATTGTGATCCCTCCTACTTTGTTCTTCTTTCTCAAAATTGCTGCAGCTATTCAGGGTCATTTATAGTTCCAAATGAATTTCTGAAGTGTTTGTGCTATATCTGTAAAATATGTCATTGGTATTTTAATAGGAATTGTGTTGAATCTATAGATTGCTTTGGGTGGTATGGACATTTTGGTGATGTTAATTCTTCCAATCCAAGAACACAGTATATGCTTCCATTTGTTTGTTTCTTCCTTAATTTCCTTCTTCAGTGTTGTGTAGTTCTCTGACTACAGGACTTTTACCTTCTTGGTTAGGTTTACCCCTAGGTACTTTATTTTTCTTGTTGCTATATCAAAGGGGATTTTTCCTGATTTCTGTTCCTGATATTTCATTGTTGGTGTAAAAAAAAATACCTTTGATTTCTGACTGTTGGCTTTGTATCCCTCAGCAGGTTTTTCTATGCAGTTGTGGAGAGGGTTCCTCCTTTTAGGAGACAGTCCCTTGGTCCTGTGGTGTTTTATGTGCTCTGGGGACTTGGTAAATGAGTTTCCACTTAATATTAGTTTTTCTCACAAATAACAGCAGCTATTCTGGAGGTCATTTTGAGAATTAGTTTTCCAGACATCCAATTTGGCCCCATAGTCTAGTGGACACTAGTGTGTCAGATGAAAAGTACAAAAAAACATTGTCAGAAAGTCTTTGGATATATCAAAGTCAAGACAGAATTATCTAGTTCAAGTTTAGTGACACATTCGTTAGACATACCACAATGACAACAGGGTTCGGTAAGGGTCCTATATAAGAACCTTAATATCAACCAATTATTAGTCTGATTAATGACCGTGGTGTGGTTGGTACAAGGAAAACCATCAGGATCTAGAGAGAAGTTTACTACAAAAGGACTGGCTTTCTCAAAATTTCTGACGAACCCTAATAACAGAGTTAGACTTACACTGAGGGTTGTAGGTTGAACCTGGGTGGGAGAGGTCTTGAGTTTGGTTGTTCATGGCACAGCCAGCAATTGGGAAGTTGATTTTCAGCAGCAATGGTATTGGAAAAGTTTACCAGTATATTAGTCCCCACTGTCTTTGTAGGGGTCTGCAGTACAGTACAGATATGAAAATAAGAATGATAAATGTTTTTATTTAGAATTTGAATAATTTGAGTGTAGTTTATGGAAAATTTTTTTCCTGGGTGAAGAAGCTGGGCATACTAACAGGATAATAGAAAGAGTGTCAAAAATATGAGAAAGAGAGACTTCTGGCAAGATGGAGGCATCGGTGGATGCACTGTACCTCCACGCACAACCAAGACTAGAACAACAACAATTTAGAGGCAGAAAAACACCTAGAACTGATAGAGAATTTATCTGAATGGAAGTCAGACAGCCAAGAAGTTGAAGTAAACCCGTTCATCCAGACCGGTAGGAGAGGCAGAGACGAGCGCAGGTCGCAGCCCGTGGAGTGCAGGGAGAGCTGGGCGCCTAAGGCAACTGGGGGCACCTAAGGCAACCAGGAGCACGTAAGCCATCCGGGATGCGTAGCAGGTGAACCCTGAGTATGCAAGTGGCAACTGGCTGACCCAGTGAGGCTGCGATTGTGGACCAGGGCAGAGCGCACAGCCCAGGATCCCAGGGAAGGGACTGAGATCCCAGGAGAGTGGGGCTGCCACCATTGTTCCCTCCCACCCCGGCCCCCACATACAACGTCACAATCTAGCTAGTGGGGTGCCCGGCCCAGGTGAACACCTAAGGCTCCTCCCCTCACCATAACAGGAGCGACCAGACCAAAAAAAAAAAAAAGGGAGAGAGAGAGATGGCTCAAATAGAAGAACAAATCAGTGCCCTAGAACTCATCGTTTTGAGCGACCAAGAAATAGCTAACCTATCAGATGCACAGTTCAAAACACTGGTGATCAGGAAGCTCACAGAATTGGTTGATTTTGGGTGCAAATTAGATGAAAAAAATGCAGGTTACCATAAAAGAGATGAAGGAAGATGCACGGAGAACCAACAGTGATAAGAAGGAAACTGGGACTCAAAACAATAGAGTGGACTGGAAGGAAAAAAAAAACAAACAGGAAACAATGAAGAAATAAGAATTCAAAAAAATGAGGAGAAGCTTAGGAACCTCCAGGACATCTTTAAACGTTCCAACATCCGAATTATAGGGGTACCAGAAGGGGAAGAGGAAAAGCAACAGATTGAGCATGTATTTGAACAAATAATAAAGGAGAACTTTCCCATTCTGGCAAAGAAAATAGACTTCCAGGAAATCCAGGAAGCTCAGAGAGCCCCAAAGAAGTTGGGAGCCTTTCTTCTTGGGAGAAGAAACACACCAAGGCACATGATAATTACATTAGCCAAGGTAAAAATGAAGGAGAGAATCCTAGAAGCAGCAAGAGATAAGGGGACAGTAACCTACAAAGGAGTTCCCATCAGTCTGTCAGCTGATTTTTCAAAAGAGACCTTAAAGGCAAGAAGGGGCTGGAAAGAAATATTCCAAGTCATGAAAGACAAGGACCTATATCCCAGATTGCTCTATCCAGCAAAGTTTTCATTTAAAATAGAAGGGCAGATAAAGTGCTTCTCAGATAAGGTCAAGTTAAAGGAGTTCATCATCACCAAGCCCTTATTTTATGAAATGTTAAAGGGACTTATCTAAGAAAAGAAGATAAAGAAAAAACATGTATAGTAAAAGGACAGCAAACTCACAATTATTAACAATCACACCTAAAGCAAAACCAAAAGAAAGTAAGCAAACAACTAGAACAGGAACAGAACCACAGAAATGGAGATCACATGGAGGGTTATCAACAGGGGAGTGGGAGGAGGAGAGAGGGGGAAAAGGTACAGAGAATAAGTAGCATAGATTGTAGGTTGAAAATAAATAGAAGGAGGGTAAGAATAGTATGGGAAATGTAGACGCTAAAGAACTTATAAGTATGACACATGGACATGACTAAAGGGGGTATATGGGTGGGAGAGGGTGTACAGGGTAGAGGGGAGTGAAGGGGGGAAAAGGGACAACTGTAATAGCATAATCAATAAAACATATGTTTAAAAAAAGGTAAGAAAAAGACTGAAAGTCTACAGAAGAACATTCCAGTGAAAAGGAATGGGCAAAGGCCCCAAGTTGGAGGGTACTAATGTGTGGAATGACCACAAGTACTATCTTCCCCATTTTTCAGATGGAAGCAGAGTTGCCAAAGGGTGTCAGTGAGCTGAGTGATTCCCTCAATAAACAGTTTAATCTTAAAAATGTGTGTGTGTATATATATATATATATGAGAAAGACCATTACATTAAGACCCAGCTATTATGTTATTTACCTGTAACAGGTCTTGTTTCCTGAAGAGGAGCTTGGGGTCCTTGATGGGTTCACAAGAGTGGGTCTCAGATTATGGTTCCTGTGGAGACTCACAAAAAAAGAGGTTTAATTTGAGATAAATGACCCCAACTGACTGTTTTTATGAGCTCACTAAAGTCAGAGTGCTAGTAGGCCTTGATGTAGACCCTTCCACCTGGGTTGTTGTTGGGACTCAGGACGGTTGTCCCTCCAGGTTTTTCAATAGACCATGTCCCCCACTGTAACCTGTTTGTGTTGGGAGTCTTTATCAAAGACAGGTGGAATTTTATTTCCATACTCTTGTAATACCTTTTGTGCCTGTCCTGCATTAATGATGTAGGATAACAACTGGATGTTATCTATCAGCACATCATATCTGAGAAAACACACACCATTAGGTGAATTCAAGGGGTCTCACTTGTGATTTTTTTTAGGTGCCCCCTCTTATTTTCATGACACCTAAGGGTAACACGGACATCCAGGAAAGCAGTTTATTCAAGTGCCTGCCACCTGAAGAGATGGGGAAATCACCCCAAAGCCCATCCTTACTTCTCAGTGCAGGCAGGGGTTTTCTCAGGAGGGAAAACAAAGCAAAGAAATCAGGGGAAGGGGCTGTGAACACGCAGGACGTCTTCCCATAGACCTCAATGTAGGTCCTTATGGTCAGCATCCTTGAGTTGGCAATCTGGTTTCTTTTTAGCTGAATTCCTGGGGTCCTGAAGTCAGGCTGCTGCTGAGGTTTACACAGGAACTGAAACTGCTGATTCCTGTAAAGTGTGCTTAATAAAAACCTTTAATACGTAAGCTCTAGTTTTGAGAGAAAAAAAAATGGGTTAGAGTAACAAGCTGGGTTTAACATTTCATCAGAGTTGTATAAAATTTTTAATTCCTGTTACAATATTTATGTAGCCCTCCCACTGCCACAAGCCATTGAAGTTCCTTGATTTCTAACACAGCATGTACTTGATGGGGGTGTTGAACCTCTGATGGCTGCCCTAGAGTAAGCTTATTGACCTCTCTTACTCAAAGAGCAGTGGCTGCTACAGCTTGTAAACAATCTCAGGGGGAAGGAGCAGGGGACTGGATAAAAGAAGGTCAAGAGATTAGCCAAAAAACATATATGCATAGCCCATAGACAGAGACACTAGTGTGATGAAGGCCAGAGGAGGGCGTGGCAGGGGCTGGGTGGAGAGATGGGCAAATGAGGGGGGCAGAATGGGGAGCATCTGTAACAGTGTCAAGAATAAAAAATTTTAAAAAAATAATAAAAAAATTAGAAAACAGGCAAACAAATGCACAGCCTATATTCCAAGACTTATGATGGAATCCTTAATTTATCTACTGAGCTTTTGATGAATTTTTTAAAAATTTTATTTATCTATTTTTAGAGAGAGGGGAAAAGAAAGAGAGAGAGGGAGAGAAACATCGATGTGTAGTTGCCTCTTGCGTGCCACCCACTGGGGACCTGGCCTACAACCCAGGCATGTGCCCTAACTGGGAATCAAACCAGGAACGCTTTGGTTCACAGGCTGGTACTCAATCCACTGAGCCACACCAGCCAGGGCATTGATGAATTTTTTTTCTACTACTAAAATGTAAAAGAAATCTGTGCAGTAGAAAAAAACTTTTGTAGTTTAACTATGTCCTCTGATAGTAAACTGCAGAATCTACTCCACTCATCTTTTTCCTTTTGAGATGTAATAGACAACTTACAGCCCAATAGCACATTGGAAACAAATTTTCTATAAAACAAAAATGTTTCTTACAACATGTAATGTTTCTCCAAGGAGGTGGGTCAAAATATAGACATCAAAGCTCTGTGACCATTTACTGAATACTGTGTTTGATTTGAGAATATTAAAATATGTTATTTTATAAATTATGTACTATATTATTTTTGAAAAAAATGAGAAAACAAAGCCGCCAGCCTGCGATAGGATTTAATTGTTCTGAGAAGTAAGCTCCTGGCCCTACAGTCAGACCTAATTTATGGGTGAGCACCCCAGGTGCCATTCCCTATTTTTCTGCTACTACAGGGTAAACAGCTTTTCTAAATTTGGCATCGCTAGGGCAGGTGCACTGCTTAGTTTGACTTTTAACTCTTTGAAAGCATGTTGACATTTAGGGGTCCTGTCTATAAGCCCTTTGTTGTCTCCCTTTAAAGGGTTGCAATGTTCAACTGAATTAATGATGACAAAGTTCTTTTTCAATGTAAATATCACAGCACACGTGATGCATGATTCAAGTGCATTTATTTTCTAGCAGCATGAATTTGATGACTTCAGCAGGACCCATGGCCAATACTGTGTTTATGGCAGCACCCCACAATGCACACTCTGTAACTCCAGAGAGCACGACTCAGGTGACCATGTATCCACACAACCAGCCCCAAGTCAACCTAATTCCTGGGAACCAACCTGGCCTGCAGACACCTGCCAGTCCACCACCAGCCCAGAGAAGCTTCAAAGAAGGCAAAACCTTAGGGGTAAGTGAGAATTCACACCACAGGCTGGGGACCACATTGCTGGAAGAAGGGGAGAGAGAAGGGTTGAAAATACAGAAACGGAAAATCCAGCAAGTGGAGCTGGAGCTACCCTGCCTTGCCAAAGTCAGGTCTACTAGGAAGCTCAGCTGTCCAGCATCACCAGGGCCTCAGTATGAGGTCTTATATTACCCAACTTAGGTATTTTACAAAAGAAAAAGAAAAGCAACAAAGAAGCAGAAAATAAAAAGGTTTTTCCTGTTGCCCAGAATCCATGTTGATCATGTGGCCTCTGGAAGAAGGCGGGTGCAGCAAGCCACAAGGGGGAGTCTAAAGCCAATGTGCTTCAATGGAATCTTTGCCCAATGACAATAATATAAGAGCTCACTTTGATTCTACCCCTAAGACAGGGGTAGGCCTGTTTCACTGCATATTTAAATAATGATATACATGCTTTCTGGTCCAGCCTGCCCTGTTTCAATTTCTAGCTTCACCCTCACGTACTGCTCTTGGAAATGTCAATCAATACAATCCATTAGGAGAGCCATCTATATCTGCCGAATTTTAAAATACCCAATAATTCCATTTCTGAGACTTTTTCCTGTAGACATGCCTGTGAACATAAGAAATATGGTATGCATGAGGTTATTTGTTGCAGACATGGTTTTTGATAGGAAAAGAATGGTAACAACCTAAATATCCTTCACTATAATACTGGATAAACCAATGTATTGTACATCCAAAAAATCAAATGTTGTGGAGATATATATTTTTAAAAAGCCCCTTTGCTTAAAAATATGGACATACACCCAAGCTATATCATTAATGAGAATAAATTAGAGGCAGGTATTGCATACAATCTACCACCATTTGTGCAAATTTATGGAAATAATATATTTGTATTCACTGCCATTTTTATAGTATACCATTTCAGCAGGAATATATAGTAGGTTCCTACAGCTGCCATAACAAAGTACTACAAATGGAATAGCTTAGAACAACATAAATTTACTGTATCACAGTCTGGGGGCCAGAAGCTTCTAATCACAGTGTCCATGGAGCCATGCTTCCTCCAAGCTCAAGGGGAGGATCTACCCTGGCCAGTCTCCAAGATTCCAGTGATCTTGGCCTAAGGCAGCATAACTCCAACCTTGGCATTCTTCTGTGTGCATGTGTGTCTCTTCACATGGCCTTCCTTTAAAAGGGTAGCAGCAGTCCTACAGGATCAGGAGCAACCCTGTTCCAGCACACCTCATATTACCTAATTATGTCTGCAGCAATGCCATGTCTAAGTGGGGTCTCATTCTGAGGCACCAGAGACCAGAACTTCAAAATATTATTTTGATGAGGGGGAGGCAGACAAAATTCCAACAATACAATATCCCAGATATTGTTTTGATATACATATATTGTTTTGATATATTCAAAACAATGTCACAAAGAAATGAGATGAGCAGAGACACTTACCCACAATGGTGTTCATCACAGTTCTGTGTATAATATGAGAGCATAGAAACAATCTTACCTGCCCAATATCTCTGTTCCACCTACTCCAGAGCCATTTTGTATTATCAGTATAGATATTTGAAAAATTAATGGGAGGTTATGCTCCAAAATGTAAGTAGTTGTTATCTTTCTGGGGAGAAATTATGGGTAATTTTCATTTCACTTTTACGTGTTTCATATTACTTTTTTGACCAACAAAAAATGAAATAAATTACAAAGGAGGCAAGGGAGGGTGGTTGGCAGGAAAGGATTCACCACAGAAATAAATGTCTCACCTTGTGGTTCCCCTGACAGGCCCTCCAGATTCTGATTGGACTGATACACTTCGGCCTTGGCAGCATCATGGGGACCATCCTGCTTGGGGGCTATATAGCCCCCTCATTCTATGGAGGTGTTCCCTTCTGGGGTGGTATCTCAGTAAGTAATGAGTCACCATGCAAGTGAGTTCCAGAGACTGCCAACACACTCAGGGCCACCTTATCAAGCTGTGTACTTTGCTACAGGAGTTTTCCAGTCAAGAGAACATGTGGGCTGTAAACCCAGCTCAGGCCTTGTTCACTAAGAATATTACTCTGCTTATGCACCCAGATCAAATACCATGGACTGGGAGGCTCAACAACAGACATTTATTATCTCACAGTTTCTAAGGCTACAAGTCTTAGATGGAGGTGTCAGCAGGGTGGTTTCATCTGGTGCCTCTCTCTTTGGCTTGCAGAGGGTCATCTTCCTCCCTGTGTTTTCACATGGTCTCTGTGGGTCTATGGTTTAGTGTGTCTTCATATAAGAACACCAGTCATATTAGATTAGGGCCCAGTCATATGACCTCATTTACTGTTCATCACTTTTTTAAAGGTCTTATCCTCAAATACAGATGCTCCTCAGCTTATGATGGGGTTATGGATCAATAACCTCATCGTACATTGAAAACATCCCAAGTCAAAAATGCATTGAATACTGCATTGTGCAGTGTATGAATTGTTCACCATTGTAATAGAACATCTGATGTGGAGCTCTACCCGGCTGCCACTGTTCTTCATCACACGAGAGTATCTTACCACATACACTCACCCAGGAAAAGATCAGTATTCAAAATCTAAAGAACAGTTTCTACTGAAGGCATATCACTTTCACATCATTGTACAATCAACAAAATCATAAGTCCAACCAGTGTGCATCTGGAACCATCCCTACAGTCACATTCTGGGGTGTGGGGGTTAGGGCTTCAAAAGGTGAATTTTGAGGGGAGGCAGTTCAGCTCATAACACCAAGTGACAGCCCTGTAAGGCTCCATGGACCCAGACTGGGCACCTTTCCTGATTAGCCCACCTCAGAGGTCAGGAAACCTTCTTCTGGATCATCAGCCCATAGGCAGCATCTTTCCTAATTGACACAAACAGGGACATATTGGGAACTTGGCTCAAGTGTTGATCAGTGCAGGCCCCCAACCTGAGCTCCAGGAGAGAACCACTTCCACCACTTGTTGAGAGTGGATGCCCAGCCACAGAAGAGTCATCAAGAAGAGGGGACTCAACCTGGTGTTCACAGATGGCCTCAGAGTCCCACTTTTAGCAAAATATTTGGTATATTAGATGATTACTTTTTTCTGGAAAAGCCCATAGTTTTTGTCACATTCTCAGGGTGATCAGTAATCCTCAATAAGTGAAGAACCTCAGGTCCTTTCCCTTCTCCAGTGTCTCACCTTTATGATTCTCTTGCAATCTCCTCAGTGTCCTCCCTCCTGCACACACACAGCCACTCATAGTCCCTCCTTCTCCTCCCTCCCACCACCCATCTCCTTTACATCCCTGCTATAACACAGTCTGTCTCCCAATCACACACTTCTCTGTGACTCAGTGCAACTTCTCTCACAAATAGCACAACTCCAGACTAACCTGGGTAACAGCCAAGTCACCCTGTCCCATAAAAGAGCCTGGAGTAGTTTATCACCCTCCTGGACATATGGCATCTGTAAGACAGCAGGACTTACATTCCTGGGAGCACTTTTGCCTAACACCGGCTCTCTCTTGTTCCCATTTGTGTCTCACCTCTGAGGCTGAGGTCCCCTCTCAGTTCCACACAGACCCACACTGGGAACTCAGCCCAGATTCCTCCACTTAGCTATAAGCACCTGTGTCTGCATGACACACTGCAGTGGGGCTTGGGGCCATGGAGAAGATACTACCACAGCCACAGAGCAGTTGCCATTGAGCATTACAGTCTCTCATATCTCATATTCTTAAGGGCCCTGTGGCTGCCCCAGTATCTCAGATGCCTTGGTGGCCATCTCCACTTCCACCAGGCTACTGCTCAGGGCCCATCAGCCCTCATGACACCCCCTTTCCTTTTTTCTGCAAGGAGTTTTCTCTTTGTTGCCTTCTTGACTACAGGACTATCTTTCTATTTTCTCAGGCTCATTAATGTCTTCCTACAAACCAAGATCTATATCCTTGGGTTCCTCAAAGGGACCAGCAGGAATATCAGAAGTCCAACCTTCTGTTTCCTTCATTCCCCATCAAGTCTCCATAAACTCAGGGATGTAAGATTGAGATTTATTATTCACATGCAGGTGAATTGGCATTCCTGTTAGAAGGTCAGGCAGCCAGAGCAAGTTGTCATTGTAAACACCCATTTCCACTAAATGGCTCATGCATCTACTCTGAGGGGGAAGGAGTGTAGGATGAGGGTTAAGATCATGGGATCTGGAGTCAACTACCTGGATTAGATTCCCATATCTGCTACTTGCTGGATGGTCTCAGGTGGGTTACTTGAAACCTCCAAGCCTCAGGCCACCCTTCTATAAAATGGGAAGAGTAATAGTGCTTGATGGGCCATTGTACAGCTAAATAAGGCAAGGTTGGAAGCACTTCATGTAGGGCTCAGCAAACCTTTCATTAAACACTAGCAATGACCTCTCAGACTGTTAGTGATAGTAGGGCACCCCATCAGCCACTGCACCTGCAGAGCATGAGTGCTGAAGTATATGCACACAGTGTACCCCATTGGTCTTGTGTTTGATGTTCAGCACCATAGAGATGCAACATACTTCTCAGTAACCAAAAGAGAGTCATCAAATTATAGACAGGCAAGGATGATGTTGGGGAATCTCTTCCCTGTCTCAACAACAGCCCCCATGCCTGACTGAATTTTTGGGAGATCAAGAAGTTGTGCATGTGGGGAAATAAAAGATAAGGAAAGAAGGAAATTTCTGAGTGTCTACTGTGTACAAGACCTACCAAGGGAAAGAAATAACAAATGTCAAGTGCAAGAGACAAATTACCTCATGGCAATGACACTTAGGAAGAAGACATACAGTTTTTCTCATTTTGTATGAGAAAATTACCAGTTGGAGAAATTAGTAACTTGCCCAAGATCACATGAGTTTCACCCTAGAATTTAAAACTGGATGGGTTGTATCCTAGAACCTATATTCCAATTCAACACCCTGTCATCTTTTGTAAAACAGTTCACTCATTCATTCATTCATTCATTCATTCATTCATGTTGAGCTAGAGGACCCAGCAGAGGAACCTAGCATGTGTGAGAGAATTTTGTGTGTGACCATAATCCCTGGAGCCTGAAGGGGGGACCAGACCACTGACCTCTCTCTAAACTCCCTCTTCTGTCCCAGTTCATCATTTCAGGATCCCTCTCAGTGGCATCAGAGGAGCAGCCAAATTCTCCTTGTGTGGTAAGTCACATCCTGAGACAGGCTCTCCCAGCTGTGGACCTATAGCAGGGACACACTACAAAGGAAAGAAGCTAACGCACAATCCCTCCTCCATTCATGCACCTACTTATAACCAGACACAGGGCATTGACATGCATGCTCACTCATACTCACATGCAGGACCACACCAACCTGGCCAAGTCACAAGTGGGAAAGAGTCCAGAAGATTCGGGGGAAGGAAGGGAAATACAGACACCTTTGTTAAGGCATCAGGGTGGGAAAGAGAGAAAGTCAGAGGATCTTACAGGAAAAGACAAAAAGCTTCCTGGGGCACAGGGTTCCCCTCCAGCTGAGCATGGCACTGAGACTGCCTGCAGTGCACAGACCTGACCTCCAGAAACTTCTACAGGGAAACCAATGGAAGCTCAGGCAGCAGCTTCCCTAGGAATCTAACTAACCAGGGTCTATGAATCAAATGAACAAGGCTCTGTGGTCTTTTAACAAAGGACCAAGAAAGGACCTTTGTTTCTCTCACAGCAGGTTGTCTAGGACAAGGGGCCTCAGGATGGCCAGATCCCACACCAGATGAGATCAGTTTGAAAGTCTTCAAAAGGAAGCTGAATTCTGGGCATGGCTTTCTACTCTTGGCCCACATTTGTGGAGCATCAGAGACTGTCACATCCCAAAACCCTGGGGCTGAGTTTCCTGCATAAGTCTCAGGAGATAAATGGGTCAAATGTTTCCCAAAGATTATCTGTGTTTCCCAAAGATTATCCTTGGGGACACTTATCGCACAAGACACATTATGAAGATGTTTAGGTAAACTTGGCGGCAAAAATCACTATTTAATAGTCCCCTCGCTGAAACATAAATAATTTTTCCTAAAGGATCTGAGAGGTCTTGCACATCAAACCTATTTAACTTTGTTTAGTTCAGGTTTTTCCATTGTTTATTTGCCCACAAACTTTTTTGCACAGTACACCTCTTTACTTGCTGCAGAACTAGGGTTCCCAGAATTGACATTAAGAAACACTTATTGAGACTCTGCTCATCTCAGCTATAATCATTTTCCTCTCCCACCCTGACCCTCTGTGTCTTCTTCAGCTGAAGGGCAACTTGGTCATGAATATCCTCAGTGGACTCTTTTCCGTGGTGGGAATCTGTACCTACATCGTAGATATGTGTGCCAACGGCCAATCTAGTAACTCCGACAGGTCACTTGTGAGTATCCCTCTTGACCACTGTGTCCAGCTCAGCTGTCTTTAGAAAATCCCTGGAAAGGCACTGACCACCAAGCTTCTTCACCAAACACTACACCAAACAGAAGTGCTGCCAGAATCAGAACAGAGTTTAAAGTCCCTGACCTGGAGCTTTATTGCTGTTACTCTAAGTGTGTGACATTACTAAATCTTAGTTTCTGTGTTTAGAAATCAGTACCTACCTTCTGATACTGGGGGAGAATTAAATGCAGTTCTACATGTAACACACAGTTACCCACCAACCTGCACCTCTACTCACAGGGTCCTCCTCACTCACTACTATGGACAAAGGTGTCAACAAACATCTTTTGTACAGGACCAGAGGGTGAATATTTAAGGCACTGCTGGCCATCTGGTCTCTGTAACAACTACTCAAGCCTGTGTGAAAGCAGACATAGAAAATACATAAATGAATGAGTTATCTCAGGTTCTAGGCCAGTGCTATTCAACAAATATATAATGTAAGCCATGATTGTGATTTTAAATTTTCAAGTTGCCACACTATAAAATGACAAAAGGAACAGGTGAAGTTAATTTTAATAACATTTATTTAACCCAATAAATCCAAAAATCTCATTTCTATATGTAATCCATGTAAAATGATTAATTCAATATATTGCATTTTGGGGACGATGTCTCTGAAATCCAGTGTGTGTTTTGCATTTACATCACATCTCAAGTCCTCAGGGGACTCATGGCCACCAGATGAGAAAGTGCAGCTACAGAAGAGTCCCATGAAAACTCAATGACTCCCTCTGCACTACAGCCCTGTCCTCCCCACCCACTCAAGGTTATCACTGCTAGTGCTTGTCCCCTCTCCCTTGTCCCCACTTGTCTTCTACATCTATTTCCCTCCTTTGCTAGAGCTTTTCATCAGCATCTACACACCCCTCTCTTCCTTTCATCTTCAAAAACAAACAAACTACCTTTCAGTTACTGCAACTACCACCCTAGATCCTTAACCACGTCTGCAGAAATAAAGAATTGTCTGCCTCACTCTCTCCAATTCTCTCCTCTCAAAACCTCTCTTGAACCGACTCTAACCACACTTTCAGCCTCACTTCTCCAAAAACCTCCTCTGCTCAAGGTCCCCAATTTCATTTGGAGACCTCTCCGTGGCTTCCAGGCCATGCTGCTAGTGTTCCCCCACTCATAATGGTCACTCTCTTCTCTGTCTCCCTTGCTGTTACTTTTCTTTTCATTATTCTCTGGCTTTATCCTCATTCTTCTGTTTCTCTCTCTACTCACTATTTTGGCAACCTCATCCTATCCAGTGACTTGAAACACTTTCTCTATGACAATGACTCCCCACACCTGTCTGCCAAATTTCAGTCTCTTGAATCCAGTTGTACACTCACCATCTTGAAATTAACATACCCCATTCTGATCTCCAGATTTTTTATCCCAAACCTTCTCTCGGGTTTATGTTTCCCCACTGATGACAACTGTATCCTTCCAGTCACTCAGGATGAAAACTCAGTGAAATCATCACCCCGCTCTATTTCTCCTGCATCTACCAGACAATGCCTCAGGCAATCCTGTGGCTTTCACCATTACAATGCATCCAGAATCCATGTGGAGCCGTCACCACCTGGCTTCTAATCTCAGTTTTGCTGATGATTATTCTTCGAACCAGGACTACCCCATCCCAGCCACCCACCCCACCTCTGGCTGCAGGCCAACATCTGAACAAGGACAGCTGAACTTCATCACAGCTTTGCACATGATTAGCCAGGAGATGGGGAGCTCCAAGGAAGGGCTCAACAAGCATGAACAAAGACTCATCAAATAATAACTATCATCTAAGCTACTTGAGGAACCCTTCCCCCTTGTGGAACGTTTCTTGTTATTTTTTATTTTTTAATTACAGTTGACATACAAAATGTTATTAATTTCAGATGTAAAACATAGTAATTAGACATTTATATACCTTATGAGGTAATCACCCCAATTATTCCAATACCTGTATGACACCACACATAGTTATTACAATATTATTGACTATATCCCCTATGCTGTACTTTACTTGCCTCTGACTTTAAAACTCTCAATTTGTACTTTTTAATCACTTCATTGTTTTCACCCATCACCCAACCCTATTCCTATAAGAAAGTTTTATTTTTAAAAGAATTTTGTTGCTAAAAACACATTTGAAAAGGTCCAGCATCATTTGTAAAGGCTCTTCCTCTCTAAGCTTCTGTGATTCCTTGACTAACACATCATCACCCTGCGTTCCCTTTGCCTGGACACCCTGTCCTACATCCCTGTCTTTAAATCTTGTCCTCAGCATGGATCTCTGTTTCCTCAGTGCCCTGGGTAAGCTTTGGGCTCTTTTGTAGCTCTTATCGTGTCTGCAGTAAATTATAATTATCTACAACTGCACCTGACTCCCTTATTACATTGTGTCTCTTAAAATGCCTTCTTAGACACTCTAACAAACAGATGTTTAATAAATACTTGCTAAATTTAGGGGGAAGAACAAGACATTTCTAAGAAAGTTGTCTCCAAAATGGAGGATTCTCTGAGCAGCTAGCTGTTATACACACCATTTTAAAAATCATAATCAACAAACATTTGTTTGTTACCTACCATGTGTCAAGCACATTCACTTTTGTATTTATTCTCTCCTATAATTGGAATCTAAATGATTATTGGGATTATTCATCCCTTGCCCTTTTAGGATTAAAGTGGATTCTACCCTAACTCTCTCCCCAGATACAGAAACAGACCCCATTCTCCTGGGTATTCTTGGAGAAGAGCAGGGAAGGGCTGAGATGTCTCCTGCTCCTCAGGTGAACTCTACTACTGCTAAACTAGTTCAGCTTGGGGGTCTTTGAACTGACTTCCTTCCTAAATTCAAGACAGCCAGAATTATTTCAGTCCACAAAATGCCACTGTCAGAAGCCAGAAAGGTTGTTTCACTGGCTCACTTTCCCTAAAGGTTCAGAGGGATGGTGGAGGTTTACATCTGAGCCCAGGCAACTACTGAAGACTGAAGATGGCACATCCCTCACATACCACATCCTTTGTCTTCAGGCTCCACCTCCCGTCCTGTGGCTCAGTCCTGTCTTTCTCCCCTAACCCTCTCACTTTCCTTTCTGCTCCTTGTCCATGCTCCCAAATTTCTATTCACTTCCTACACAGAACAGTTTCACTCTCTCACTGTCTGACTCCAGACCACATTCTTAGGTCTCGTCCCCTGTGCCTGAAATAAGGTATCAAGGTGTTGCCCTAAAAAATGACTACTCTTTCCTGACAAACACATGCAGTGTTTGCCCCTCACCCAAACCTGGTGAGATATTTTATCCATGACATGAGACAAAGTTATAGGACTTCCCCTAAGCTATAGCCACCATCCATTGCAGAGACATACTCTGAGGCAGACCTCATACTCCCAGAGCAGCACTAATTAACTTCCGGTTCGTTCTGGTTCCAGACCTCTGGATTCGCTACTTCTGGCGTTTTGCTCATCTTCAGCCTCCTGGAGCTCTTCATTGCCTCCACATGTGCCCACTTTGGCTGCCAACTGGTCTCCTACGTGAGTTCAAAGATCCTCAGTGGGTGAAAAGATGCCCCAAAGAGGGTGGAAACCAGAAGGATCTTCAGGCTTCCCCTTCCTTCCCGGGAGCAGGGGAGTTTCGTAATGTCTATGGGAATCCTTGAATACCCAGTTCTCATCAGAGCACCTCCTGTGCCTGTCTTTTCCAGGGCACCGTGGTCTACCAGACTATCTACGTGTCAAACCAAGTGTCCAACCCAGAACCAGTGAACTCGCCACCACCTTATTCCCGTGAGGTGAAGCACTCCAAATAGGCCAAACGCTGTAGAAGCATCTTTCACTGAGATCAAAAGAAAACCTCCCCTTTTTGTGCTTTTGAAACTTAGCTTTTTCCTTCCCTGACAAACTAAGGAACATGTCTGTCCAACTGTGTGCACCCTGAACTCCCTTTACTTGAGCCTGGTAAATTGTCTGTGCCTCTATGAAAAAGGAAATGGAAATGTCAAGTGGATTTTAGCAAAGCAGTTCTCCCTAAGGCAGCCACATGTGGGGAAGTTGTGTGCATGTATTCATGTGCTTACCTGTGTGAGCTTAGGAGTTAGAGGAATAAATGTCTAAACAGCCCAAGCTTCATTCTTTCAGTCATTCACTCATTGAATAAATATGCACCAGGACTTGATACGTTTAAGTCTCTTTCATGGCAGAGGAATGGTGAACATGGGTGAACACATCAAACCCTTGATTTCAAGGAATTTCTGCCTCAGAAAGTAGAGCAGCATGCAAACAACTTTCTCTAACACAAGGCAGAAGGTACGGCTGTACCTTCTGGAAAAGAAGGAAACAATTTATCCTGGCAGTGATAGGGAAAGCAGAGGACAAGTCTGCTTGAGAAATCAGATTTATTCAGGCACTAAAGGACAGAGTAGGGGATTTATTTTGTTTGTTGTTGCTGTTAAGTTTTATGCAATAAGAAACTGCAGTGTTGGGAAGATATTTGGAGCAGTGGGTCATCCACTATCATGATCAATTTTTATATATAGTTACCATGATGCAATAGTTCTCAAGAATATTGTCTTAATATATCTTCCAAAATTATGATGCTAGTATATCATTATACATGGAAGGATAAGCACAAATTCAAAGAGAAATAACTATGTCTATAATTTCCAGATTTGCACACATTATTAACTTAAATATTGTTATTCATGATGACCAATCGGCATTCAAATGTTTACCTAACAACAGATTATGGCAGTAACCTCTAAAGTCCAGGTGCCATCAAATTTTCTTTTATGGCAGAAGCCTGGCTATAAGTTTTTTGTTGTTTGTACTACATACAGAACATGATTTAATCCTATGTCTATTTTTAAGTGCTGACTTTACCTAAGAAGTTTCCTCTAAATGGCATGTGACTTAATTCCATGTACTTCTGCACCAGCACTTTCTCTGACCAGGAGCCCTTGGCTTCCCATCAGCTGCTCAGAAATGGCTGAGGTTTCAAAGCCCCCCATGGGTTTTCTAGAACTGAAAGGGGTTTAGGAAATCACAGGCAACAAAAATGGAGGATGGAGCATGTAATATTCTGGTTTCAGACCAGCTGTCCACCTATCTGTTTTGTGAGCTGAGACATTTGTTCATTGGGGTCCCCAAAAGGGGCTGGACCATTTGGGCCATTCTCAGAGGGCAAGGTGGTCAGAGTGAGCCTGGCCCTCTCTCCATGTTCTTCTTCAGTGTTGCCTCTCACTGCCCCATCCGACTCCATACCTTCTTGGTCTCCAGATCTCTGATCCTCCACCTTGATCCTCCACCTTGATCCTCCACTCTGTTCTCAGAGCTTCCTTCCTGACTTGTCTGACCTGTGAGTTAACAAATGTGCCCCAGGTCTGTCCCACCTCCTATAGTGTGGATGGCCTCAGAGAAAGCAACTTGAAACACACCTGGTGCTTCTCCAGAGAGGTGACACCTGCCACCTGCACTGCTGAAATCACCAGGGGGCTTGTTGGAACAGACTCCCTTTCCTATCCTTCTGCTCACATTATTTGCTCTGTGTGTTAGGTTCCTCATCCCAGGGGGCCCCTTCACCAGCAGGGTGACAGATCACTGCCACCTGTGGGCAATAAATTGTATGCTTGTTCTGCACTTTTCCACAAGCCATCCACTGCACACCTCCATTCACTCCATCCCCTCCAGAAAAATGACACATGAAAACTGGAAGAGACCTGGGAGCTCTATGGGTAGATGGAAACACACAGGTGGAGAGGGAAGGCATTTTCCCAAGGTGGTCAACAAAGCTTGGAGCACAGGCAAGACCAGAGCCAGAACTCCAGAAGGCCAGTCCATGGCTCCTTGCAGAAGCAGAGACACCTGGTGGGAAAAGTAAAGTGATTTAGTTCAAAAGATAGTATCTCTACCACCTTAGTAGCCACCACTCTCGCCCCAGCTTTCTCCCAAATCCTGACACCCTATTCCAGTGGCAATACTGCTGTCACCAAAGTCACCAATGTCCCCATTTTGGCAAGCTCAATGGTTCTATTTTCATACTTACCTTTTTTGACCTTTGCAGAATTCTGACCCAACACTGTCGAAAACACTGTCTCCTGGTTCTGCCACGGCCTCTCTCCAACCTGATATTTTACAACTATGAAATTATTGCCATTCTGGCAGATGGAATACCAGCTGTCTCAGTGATCTGGTTTTTGATCTCTGATACCAATGGGTTGAGCACCCAAGTATTCTATTCATGTATTCTTTGGCTATTTAATTTTTCCCTCTTTTCTAAAGTCAGTTAATTTCTTTTGCCTATTCTTCTACTGGGTTGCTTCCCTTTTTCTATTTGATTCTTCAGGTCATAGTCTATTCTGCATATTTTTCCTTTTTTTAGTTGTGTGTTTCAAGTGTCTTTCTCCAATACTTTGGCTTCTCCTATTACTTTCTTTAGGATATCTTTGATGAACAAAAGATCTTAATTTTAATGTGATCTAACATGTTTGAAATTTTATGATTTATGCATTTTGTATCATGCTTAAGAAATATTTTCCTGAATTTTCCCAAGAATTATTGCAGCATGGAGAGCCATACATAGCAAAGCAATTCAACAAAGTGCTGGCAGTCCAGGGTCAGTAGGAAGAGAAGCCTGGATTACAAAAGAGGCTACTGATGCCCAAGGCAACTGCTTGAAATCAGGTGGCTCTTCCAAGGGCTGGTAGAAGCCTCCACATACCCACACAGATTGAAGATTTGATCTACAGAAAGAGGACCATATCCTGACACTGGCTTATATACAGAGGGTGTAACACTCCTAGTAAGCAAAAAGGACAGTCACCTTTTCACTGACAGCCATATTTCAACTACTGCCTTCAAAACCAAAGCACAACTAGAGGAGACAGAGAAGCGAGGGGACCCATCCCCCATCAACCATCCACTAAGCCATTGCAGCCTAAAGACTAAGTTAAGGCAGAAGGTAAACTTTGACTCACATGTAATATTGAAGGCTTAAAATGACCAGGTCTGAGCCTTAAGAGCCTACATGAGAACTTTTAATAACAAAACTGAAACATTATAATGGAAGAACCATCCATCCAACTCCACTCACCACAAGAACTAAAACACCACAAGTCTTTTGCATGAACCTGAGTGCCCTTCCCCAGACCCCTGGTCCCTCCTTCCCACAGTGCTTACCATTCTCAGCTCTCTTGTGTGCCTAGCACAACAGATACACCTAATATATGGGAATGCATTGGCAAAATTTCTAATGTTCTGTGTGAGCTCACACAAAATTGTGCGCCTGAAATATTGGAATGCATTGGCAAGCTTAACTAATACCCTGTGATAGCTAACACTACATTTTCTAGCACATGAATTCCTGGGGAACAGCCACCAAAGGAGTCCCCAACAGTCCCACCAGGACTGCTCTTCATTTCACGTGCAAGGACTTCCAGAGTTCTCTTTGCTGTGCACCAGTTCACATTCTGCTCATGTTCTGACTCATTCATTCTTTTTTTAATGCCATTTACTGATCGCCCACTGATCCCACATGCTCTGCACAGTTGAAAACGTTGATGAGTCTGTGGAGCTTTACAAACTTTCTCTACCATTTTCCCATAAGACATGCACCTTGATAACTAGGAACAGAAAATGATAGCACAAACATGGGATGATAATCTTCTTAGATGTCCTCCTGCTGCCTGTGATGGTGTTCGATCTTGCACATTGGGTATGTTTCCACTCATCCTGAAAAACCATGTTGCAAAATGACCTCCGGAAAATCAGGTTTGTGTACATGATGCTCTAATAAGAAAAAGTATTGAAACATTGGTGCTTGGAGATAGAGAAAGCTTTGTTCAGTTTGACTGAGATGAAAGGACAGGAGAGGGAAATCTCTCAAATCCACCTCTCTCAAAAAAACAAAAACAGGCTGCACCAGTCTGCATTCCCACCAACAGTATGCTATTTACAATAGCCAAGTGCTGGAAGCAACCTAAGTGCCCATCAGTAAATGAGTGGATCAAAAAACTGTATTACATTTACACAATGGAATTCTACACAGCAGAAAGAAAGAAGGAGCTCCTACTCCTCATGACAGCATGAATGGACCTGGAGGGCATTATGCTAAGTGAAATAAACCAGCCAGTGAAAGACAAATACCATGTGATCTCACCTATAAGTGGAACCTAATCAGCAAAACAAACAAGCAAGCAAAATATAACCAGAGACATTGAAATAAAGAACAAACTGACGGTAACCGGGGGGAAGGGAGATGGATAATGGAGGACAATAGGGGGAGGATTCTCAAGGAACATATATACAGGATGCAAGGATAGAGATGAAGGGGGTAAAATCAAGGATGGAAGGTGGGGAAGGGTGGGGAGGGGGTAGTAGGGAAACAATGGAGACAATTGAACAACAATTTATAAAAGGAAGAAAACATCATATTGAGGTAATTGCCCTGAGATTTCTATGAGCCAGGCCTTCTCCAGGGAAGGACAAGTTGTCATGTATTTATTGGGAGCCCTTTGTTAATTTGTATGAAGCTTTTTAAGTTTTTCCTTTAGATTAAAAATAGTCACAGATGTCCTCTTTGCCACCATGTGGGGCAAGGAGAGAGGACCAAAGAGAGAAACAAGAACCCACTTGCCCATCCATCCATTTTCTGCTGTTAAAAGAGTCAGATAACTGCGAAAGCTGAGAGGGAGCATTCAAATATGATCATTTGAGGGACATTGAATATAGAGCCTTCTTCCAAAATGTGGGCAGGATATAGAGAGTTCCAGGTGCTAGAATAATGCCCCAAAGTTCTTAAGAGTAGAAGCAAACCAGACTCTTTAGCCTGTGTGGCTGGCATCACCCTCACAGCTGTGTGCTGATCTTGCTGGTGGCTCAGCCAATGAAAGGGGAAGTCAGGGGGAGAGAGAAGTGAGACTTCACCCTCCCTTTGCTGGTCACAATTGGCCAGCAGCTGAGGTCTCCTACCTAAGACCTCAGCTCTTATCAGGCAGCTCAAATTTTTGGATGCAGCTCAGGCTGGCTGCTATAGTAACAGGATTCATGCTTCTTGTCCCTTACTTCTGAGGGAAACAGCTTCCCTATATTACTGGCTCCCTATATTACTGGCTCCCATGGTGACCACCCTTTGGGTCTCCATGATCTTCCCACATTTCTCTTAATAGCTCCTTCACTAATCTTTCTTCAGTGATAGACATTAAGACTGCCCTCTGTTTTCCTTCAGGATCTCAGGGGATACAGAATGCACACGAATATGTGTAAGCCATCCGCATGCCCAAAGCAGTGGGATCTGTGTAAAGAACTGAATATTATGGAAACACTCAGTCCTCTCTGGGTGAGTAGAGTATAATACTCCATATGCTACCTTTCTCTAGCAGGAGAACCCAGAGTAGTAACAGTTCTGTACTCCTGGAAGTGCTCGGAACTGGCAGGAATGTCATACAAGATCCATGAGCATCATTTGGTGGATGAGGAGGTTAAATTAGATGTACAGCCTCCGTATCTACTTCAGTCTTTAGTCTCATATTGTTGCCAGATTAATTAAAAGCAAGGCAGTAGGTGTCTTTTTGTGTGTTCCCCCAAACAGGCACTGCCCTATGGATTTGGATACTGTGAGAGAATAGAGAAGTGATATGTGGAGAGAGGAAATCCAATAAAGTGTGTGTTCATGAATGTGCTCCTATTCTCTACTGAGGCATTTGTTAGTCCGTCATACACAAAGCTACACACATCACCCCTGAGTGCTAAGTTCACTTTTGTGAAATCCCACCAAATATGACTCTCCCATCTCCACACAGATACTAGTAAACTCTTACCCAATTGAACTGCATTTAATTGGTTCTTGCCAATTACAAAAAAGATATGTGGGTGAGAAACCTCAGATTTATGCAGCTGCTTAGGTCCCCTGTTGAAGGAGTTTTTTCAGATCTTTCTAGACATATCCCCTGTGAGTACACAGTAGTGTGAGCCCAGTGTGCTTATTCTTCAGGAAAGAGAAGTTGCCCACAACGAAACACTGGGGAAGAGGCGCAGGAGAGACTGAGCTGCAGGCTGAACAACGTGAGTATACTTGATCTAATGATTTCTTTGGCTAACTCAGGGATGCTGGTATGATTTTTCTGACAAATGAGACTTACAATAATGTCACGGGATGAGGAGTGGACCCAGACTGGTTGTGCCTCAGGCCAGCCATAGTGTGTGTTTTCTTGACCTTGTATAGGAAAGATTTCATATCACAGGTCAAGTTGATTTTGAGAGTACATTTATTAACACTGAGGACAGTGAAACAAATGAAGGATTTAGGGTGGGAAAAGCAGCAAGAGAGAACCTAGGCAGAGCTCTGCTTTGACTCCCTAGAAATGTTATAGAAAAGAAGTGAGCCACACTGGGCTGTGTGAACTCACTGAGAGGTAAAAGTCACAGTGACAGAAGTGAGTCAAGGTGGGGCTGCTTTTGTCTCACTGAAAACTCAGAGAAAAAGAGGACTTTGGAAACACGTTCAGGGAGTAAGCCAAGAACAAGCTGCTGCTGCTGCTGCTGCTGCTGCCTGCTGCTGCCCTGGTTGCAAGTCTTGTGGATCCTTAGATTTAAGAGGAAGAAAATAGGAAGGTCATGGGCATGCTCTAGAGTGAGCTTGCAATGGTATTTTTTGTTTTCAGGGATTTTATCTCTCTTTTGCAGATGACAGTCTTAGGGGAGGTTTTCAGCAGAATATTCATCAGCCTCCTAGGTGTAATTTTAATATGATGATGCATCAAAATGAGCATATAGGAGAGTTTGGGATTATTCTTTGGTCTGCTTTAGTGTTTACTTATCTTGAGTCTCTCTGGCTCTAATCAGGTGTTTGTTACTTTATTGCCCTGACTTCATGCATCTCAGGGTTTGGCTGGCACAGATGCCATTATTAGGGTTCCTATCCTCTATCTCTCACCAGGGTAATTTAAACTATTTACTCATGGATCAGAGAGGAAAGGTATGCACCATTTGTTCTCCAGTGTTCTTGGTTAGGAAAATGAGGTTTTGTGAGTCACTAGCTGTATACTGGTCAAGTTGTTTGGCCTTGTTTAATCTCAGTTTTCCCATCCACACCATTAGAAATGTTTCTAGCTTCTAATGATTCTGCCTTATTTCTTCCTCAAACAATTCCATTTCTGAAGTCTTTGGGGGGCGATGAGGGAGAAGGGCATGTCTTCAGTAACAGCTTCCTACTGACAAGGACTGTCATTCCTGCCTATGTACGGTGAAGACACCTCTCCCTGCCTGCTGTAAGGGAGACACGGGAATGGGATCTGAGACCAGAACAGAGAGGCCATTGGCTGATTCTTCTAAAATAGGGATATGCAGGAATCCCCACAGAGTCATTGCCTTCACATGGAATTGAGGTATTTTAGAGGTAAAATTTTTGACAAGAAGGTAAAAAAGGCATGGCCCTAAGTTGAGGAGGAAATCTATACTTAGGGAATTGAGGGTGTATAAAAACCAGGCAATAGTCTCCCAGATTAATCTTGCAGAAGGGTTCCCCTTTCCAAAGTTATGAGTCCATGTGGCTTGGTCATAGATTTTTTAATATAGTTTCTTCTACTTGCCATGAAGAGTTAATGCAGCAGGTTTCATTTATGACTGCACACACCCCTCCTCTGTTGCTAAATAATCAAGGCTTACTCTGTTACCTGGTACAACATTAGCAAGGGAATCTAAAGACTGTTGTAGATTTTGAGGGCATGGCTAATACTTTTTTTAGGTCATTGTATACTATCTGTTAAATTAATTTAAGGTGGAATCTGATAGGCAAACCTCCCCATGGAATATTATGCTGATGGCTGCCCTTATGCCAGTTATCATAGTCTTATCCTTTTTATCCTTCTTGTCAAATTGTTACCTCTAAACTACAACAATTCCATGTGAAGACAATGACTCTGTGGGGATTCCTGCATATCCCTACTTTAGAAGAATAAGCCAATGGCCTCTCTGTTCTGGCCTCAGATCCCATTCCCTTGTCTTCCTTATAGCAGGCAGGGAGAGGTGCCTTCACTCTACATAGGCAGGGTTGGCAGCCCTTGTCAGCAGGAAGCCGTTACTGGAGACATGCCACTCTCCCTCTGGCTTTCATTTTTTGAGGGTGAGTAGTATTATGAACAGTGACAGAAATTGCTCACGGGCTAAGAAAACCTAAGGTGTACTGGCGTAATGAAATTATGTGTTGTTAACACATGGATAGCCTACAGCAGGTAATGGTTAGTGGAAGTTGGTATAAGGTCAGCCACCATACGGTTGTCTATTTTGGAGGTGTCCACAGAGAAAGAGGTATCCAGGAGGGGTGCAAGCTCAGCCCACATATGTTGTTGAAAACCAGGCCTGGAAGGTCGAACCCCAGCAGGTGTTTTCTATGCAGTCATGGTAAGGGTTCCTCCTTTCAGGAGATGGTTCCTTATTCCTGTGGTATTTTATGTGTTCTGGGGACTTGGTAAATGTGTTTCCACTTAATATTAGTTTGTTCTCACCAATAATTGCAGGTGTTCTGGAGGTCAGTTTGAGAATTAGTTTTCCAGGCATCTAATTTGGACCTGTAGTCTAGAGAACACTAGTGTGTCAGATTGAAGGTACAGAAAACATTGTCAGAAAAAGTCTTTGGATATATCAAAGTTAGGACAGAATTATCTAGTTCAAATCTAGTGACACATTCGTTCAACATACCACAATGACAGTAGGGTTCTGTAAGGGTCTTGCATAAGAGCCTTAATATTGACCAGTTTTATTCTAACTAATGAGCACAATGTGGTTGGTGCAAAGAAAGCCATCGGGAACTGGAAGGAAGTTTACTAAAAAAGAACTGGCTTTTTCAAAATTTTTGAGAGGCCCTAAAACCAGACTTGGTGTGTTGAAGGCTGTAGGTTGACCCTGAGGCAGGAATGCTCTTTGGATTGATTGTTAATGGCAGAGCCAGCAATTGAGAAGTTGATTTTCAACATCAACAGTATTGGAAGAGCTTACCAGTATATTAGCCTCCCACTCTCCTCGTAAGGTCTTTACTACAGTAAAGATATGAAAATAGGAAGGATAAACATTTTTGGTTAAAATTTAAATAATTTAAGTGGAGTATACAGAAACATTTTTTTCTGGAGGAATAGGCTTGGTGTACTAACAGGCTAGTAGAAAGAGTGTCAAAAATATGAGAAAAACCATTATATTAAAGCCTGGCCATCATGTTATTTATCTGTAACAGGTTCTTGTTTCTTGAACAGGAACTTGAGGTCCTTGATGGGGTTCACAAGAGTAGGAGTAGGATTATTATTCCTGTAGAGACTCACAAGAAACAGGTTTGCTTTGAGATAAATGAACCAAACTGGCTATTTCTATAAGCTTTACTGAAGTTAGAGTGCTTAGTAGGACTTGATGTGGGTCCTCCTATGTGGCCTGTAGTTGGGACTCAGGACTATTGTCGCTCCAGGTTTTTCAATAGACCATGTCCCCCACTTTAGCCTGTTTGTGTCAGGAGTCTTTACTAAGGGCAGGTGGAATTTTGTTTCCATACATACTCTTGCAATGCCTCTTGTACCTGTCCTACATTAATGATGTAAAATAAGAACTGGGTGATTTCTTCACCTAGTAGCAGGTCCTTTAGCTTTTTCTTGTCTGGAAAGTTCTTTATTTCTCCTTCAATTTTAAATGATAGCCTTGCTAGCAAAGTAGCCTTGGCTATAGGTCCATATTTTAAACACCCAAAATGTTTGGTGCCAGTCTCTTCTGGCCTGAAGTGTTTCTATTGAGAAATCAGATGACAGTCTAATCAGAGCTCCCATGAGGTAACTAACTGCTTTTCTCTTGGGACTTTTAAGATTCTCTCCTTGTCTTTAAGCTTTGCCATTTTAATTATGACATGTCTTGGTGTCGGCCAATTTGGGTCTATCTTGTTTGGGACCCTCTGCACATCCTGAATTTGTGTGTTGTTTTCCTTCACTAGGAAGGTTTCAGTCATTATTTCTTCAAATAGAATCTCAGTCACTTGCTCCCTCTCTTCTCCTTTTGGTATTTCCTTCATGCAGTTAGTGTCATGCTTCATGTTGTCCCAACAGTGTCTTAAATTCTCCTCCTCTTTTAAAATTTTTCTTTTTCTTTACTCTTCTGCTTGAGTATATTTTTCTACCTTATCTTCCAAATCACTGATCCGAACCCCTGCTTCATCTGACCAACTGTTCATTTCTTCCAGTGTATGATTTGTTGTGGATAGTGCATTCTTCATTTCTGACTGGTCCTTTTTTAGGGTTTCTATGTCTTTTTTCATGCTGTTTAGGGTTCTTATAATCATTACTCTAAACTCTCTATCTGATCAATTACTTGCCTCCAATTCATCTAGTTCTTCTTCTGGAGAATTCTCTTTTACTTTCTCATCTTTGGGGCCTGTTTCTTTGTCTTCCCATTTTGACTGCCTCCTTGTGTTTGTTTCTATGTATTAGGTAGATCTGCAAATACTGGTGCAGATCTATGTGAGACACTGTGACTGGCCCTGGGAAACCTGTTTGGAATTGTCAGTGATCCATCCCCTGTGGCTCCTTCTGCTGGGGCTTGGCGTTTGCAGAAAGAACCAGCTGTGCACCTAGGGTGGTTTGCTCCAGCCCCTGGCCTGCGGGAATACCAGTATATGCTTAAGTATCAGAGCTCCCAAGTATTGCCTTCAACTACAGCCTTTCTGTTAGGCTTAACAGTCTCCATTTGTACTCCTCAACAGCCCTGCTTTAGTTCCACAGGATGGGACAAGAGGGATTCCTGAGGGTGGGGCTACTGCTTCCCCCCAGGCTGATGCCACATGGAGGGGAGTGCTGCCAGAGAAAGATGGCTTCTACAGTATGGGGGAATGACTCAGCACAGGGACCCTGATGGCTGACCCTCCAAGTCTCTCCCCAGAGCTACCAATCCCAGACTCTCCTCACATGGCTCTAGGCTGCTCTGCCCTCCCTCTGCCATACCTGGGGGGACAAGGCCTCAAAGGAAATTTCACGCATTGGCCCTTTTAAAGGTTCACTGTGAGTCTGCCATCTCTCCCAGCAAGACAGAAAGCCAGCTTCTTTTCAAAGCGGGATGTAACTTGGGTTCCACTCCCAGTTCTCATTCTCTAGGCTTGGGAGGCCACCTTGGGGTTTTACCCCACACTTCTCAGGGGGAATCCCCCTACCCCATTGTAGCTGAAATATTGCTATAAAACTTCAATTGCTGTCTGTGGGAACCAATCCAGCCCTCTAGCACCTCCATACTTCCTACCATTCTCATTCTGGTGGTGTGGTTTCTTCCATAAGTGGTTGGTTATAAATCTCCTCTCCAGCTAGTGTTACGTTGGTCATTTAAGACGATTTTTCCTATAAATTAGTTGTAATTTCCACCTTTGTCCTGGGAAGAAGGTAGTGCTGCTTCCATCTACTCAGCCACCATCATGGACCTCTACCTAATATCTCTGAAACAGAATGAATAAACTCCTAATGGGTGGCAATGCTCAACTGAGTTAATGAAGGCAAAGTTCTTTTTCACTGTAAACATCACAGCACATGTGAAGCATGATTCAAGTGCATTTATTTTCTAGCAGCATGAATTCAATGACTTCAGCAGGACCCATGGCTAATACTGTGTTTATGGCAGCACCCCACAATGCACACTCTGTAATTCCAGAGAGCACAACTCAGGTGACCATGTATCCACACAACCAGCCCCAAGTCAACCTAATTCCTGGGAACCAACCTGGCCTGCAGACACCTGCCAGTTCACCACCAGCCCAGAGAATCTTCAAAGAGGGCAAAACCTTAGGGGTAAGTGAGAATTCACACCACAGGCTGGGGACCACATTGCTGGTCCCCAGAGGAAGGGGAGAGAGAAGGGTTGAAAATACAGAAATGGAAAATCCAGCATGGAGCTGGAGCTACCCTGCCTTGCCAAAGTCAGGTCTACTAGGAAGCTCAGCTGTCCAGCATCACCAGGGCCTCAGTATGAGGCCTTATATTACCTAACTTAGGCATTTTAGAAAAGAGAAAGAAAAGCAACAAAGAAGCAGAAAATTAAAAGGTTTTTCCTGTTGCCCAGAATCCATGTTGATCATGTGGCCTCTGGAAGAAGGCGGGTGCAGCAAGCCACAAGGGGGAGTCTAAAGCCAATGTGCTTCAATGGAATCTTTGCCCAATGGCAATAATATAAGAGCTCACTTTGACTCTACCCCTAAGACAGGGGTAGGCCTGTTTCACTGCATATTTAAATAATGATATACATGCTTTCTGATCCAGCCTGCCCTGTTTCAATTTCTAGCTTCACCCTCACATACTACTCTTGGAAATGTCAATCAATACAATCCTATTAGGAGAGCCATCTATACCTGCCAAATTTTAAAATACCCAATAATTCCATTTCTGAGACTTTTTCCTGTAGATATGCCTGTGAACATAAGAAATATGGTATGCATGAGGTTATTTGTTGCAGACATGGTTTTTGATAGGAAAAGAATGGAAACAGCCTAAATATCCTTCACTATAATACTGGATAAACCAATGTATTGTACATCCAAAAAATCAAATGTTGTGGAGATATATATTTTTAAAAAGCCCCTTTTCTTAAAAATATGGACATACACCCAAGCTATATCGTTAATGAGAATAAATTAGAGGCAGATACTGTATATAATCTACCACCATTTGTGCAAATTTATGGAAATAATATATTTGTATTCACTGCCATTTTTATAGTATACCATTTCAGCAGGAATATATAGTAGGTTCCTACAGCTGCCATAACAAAGTACTACAAATGGAATAGCTTAGAACAACATAAATTTACTGTATCACAGTCTGGGGGCCAGAAGCTTCTAATCACAGTGTCCATGGGGCCATGCTTCCTCCAAGCTCAAGGGGAGGATCTACCCTGGCCAGTCTCCAAGATTCCAGTGATCTTGGCCTAAGGCAGCATAACTCCAACCTTGGCATTCTTCTGTGTGCATGTGTGTCTCTTCACATGGCCTTCCTTTAAAAGGGTAGCAGCAGTCCTACAGGATCAGGAGCAACCCTGTTCCAACACACCTCATATTACCTAATTATGTCTGCAGCAATGCCATGTCTAAGTGAGGTCTCATTCTGAGGCACCAGAGACCAGAACTTCAAAATATTATTTTGATGGGGGAGAGGCAGACAAAATTCCAACAATACAATATCCCAGATATTGTTTTGATATATATATATATTGTTTTGATATATTCAAAACAATGTCACAAAGAAATGAGATGAGCAGAGACACTTACCCACAAAGGTGTTCATCACAGTGCTGTGTATAATATGAGAGCATAGAAACAATCTTACCTGCCCAATATCTGTTCCACCTACTCCAGAGCTATTTTGTATTATCAGTGTAGATATTTGAAAAGTTAATGGGAGGTTATGCTCCAAAATGTAAGTAGTTGTTATCTTTCTGGGGAGAAATTATGGGTAGTTTTCATTTCAATTTTACGTGTTTCATATTGCTTTTTTGACCAACAAAAAATGAAATAAATTACAAAGGAGGCAAGGGAGGGTGGTTGGCAGGAAAGGATTCACCACAGAAATAAATGTCTCACCTTGTGGCTCCCCTGATAGGCCCTCCAGATCCTGATTGGACTGATACACTTCGGCCTTGGCAGCATCATGGGGACCATCCTGCTTGGGCCCTATAGAGCCCCCTCATTCTACGGAGGCTATCCCTTCTGGGGTGGTATCTCAGTAAGTAACAAGAGTCACCATGCAAGTGAGTTCCAGAGACTGCCAACACACTCAGGGCCACCTTGTCAAGCTGTGTACTTTGCTACAGGAGTTTTCCAGTCAAGAGAATATGTGGGCTGTGAACCCAGTTCACGCCTTGTTCACTAAGAACATTAATCTGCTTGTGCAGCCAGAACAAATACCACAGACTGGGAGGCTCAACAGCAGACATTTATTATCTCACAGTTTCTGAGACTACACATCCTAGATGGAGGTGTCAGCAGGGTGGTTTCCTCTGGTGCCTCTCTCCTTGGTTTGCAGAGGGTCATCTTCCTCCCTGTGTTTTCACATGGTCTCTGTGGGTCTATGGTTTAGTGTGTCTTCATATAAGAACACCAGTCATATTAGATTAGGGCCCAGCCATATGACCTCATTTACTGTTCATCACTTCTTTAAAGGTCTTATCCTCAAATACAGATGCTCCTCAGCTTATGATGGGGTTATGGATCAATAAACTCATCGTACATTGAAAACATCCCAAGTCAGAGGACTTCTGGCAAGATGGAGGAATAGGTGGACGAACCGTACCTCCTCGCACAACCAAGATTAGAACAACAATAATTTACAACAATAATTTACAGATAAAATAACACCCAGAACCGATAGAGGATTTATCTGAATGGAAGTCAGACAGCCAAGAACTTGAAGTAGAGCTGTACATCCAGACTGGTAGGAGATGACGAGCCGGGCGGATGCGGGGCTGGCGCAGGTCGGCGGCGCACAGAGGTCGGGGAAAACTTGGCGTGAAATCGGCACGACAGCCATCCGGGTGCAAGAACGCAGCGGTGATCCTTGAGTACACAAGCTGCTGCTGGCGGACCCAGTGAGGCAGCGATTGTGGACCAGGGCAGAGCTCGCAGCCCAGGATCCCTGAGAAGGGTCTGAGCCCAGGAGAACGGAACTACTGCCATTGTTCCCTCCCATCCCCGCTCCCGCCCCCGCCCCTACTCCCACATATAACATCACAATCTAGCGACTGGGGTGCCCAGCCCCGGTGAACACCTAAGGCTCCGCCCCCCACCGTAACAAGAGGGACCAGACCGGAAAAAAAAAAAAAGGAAAGACATGTATCCAGCGGAGCAGAATCAGTCCCCCATGACTCGTCCTTTTGAGCAACCAAGAAATAACCAATCTATCAGATGCACAGTTCAAAACACTGGTGATCAGAAAGCTCACAGAATTGGTTGATTTTGGGAGCAATTTAGATGAAAGGATGCAGGTTACCATAAAAGAGATGCAGGAAGATACGCGGAGGAGAGCCAATAGTGAAAGGAAGGAATCTGAGTCTCAATACAATACAGTAGACCAGAAGGAAGATAGAATCAACCAAGCAGGAAAGCATGATGAAATAAGAATTCAAAACGAGGAAAAGCTTAAGAGCATCCAGGACACCTTTAAACATTCCAACATCCGAATTATAGGGGTACCAGAATGGGAAGGGGGAAAGCAACAAATTGAGCATGTATTTGAACAAATAATAAAGGAGAACTTCCCCAATCTGGCAAAGGGAACAGTCTTCCAAGAAATCCAAGAAGCTCAGAGAACCCCAAAGAAGTTGGACCCAAGAAGAAACACACCAAGGCACATCATAATTACATTAGCCAAGGTAAAAATGAAGGAGAGAATCCTAGAAGCAGCAAGAGATAAGGGGACAGTAACCTACAAAGGAGTTCCCATCAGACTGTCAGCTGATTTCTCCAAAGAGACCTTACAGGCAAGAAGGGGTTGGAGAGAAATATTCCAAGTCATGAAAGACAAGGACCTACATCCCAGATTATTCTATCCAGCAAAGCTCTCATTTAGAATGGAAGGGCAGATAAAGTGTTTTTCAGATAAGGTCAAGTTAAAGGAGTTCATCATCACCAAGCCCTTATTTTATGAAATGCTAAAGGGACTTATCTAAGAAAAAAAGATAAAGAAAAGACATGTATAGTAAAAGGAGAGCAAACTCACAATTATTAACAACCACACCTAAAGCAAAACCAAAAGAAGCTAAGTAAACAATTAGAACAAGAACAGAACCACAGAAATAGAGGGCACATGGAGGGTTAGCAGCAGGGGGGTGGGAGGAGGAGAGAGGGGGAAAAGGTATAGAGAATAAGTAGCATAGAATGTAGGCTGAAAATAGATAGGGGGAGGGCAAGAATACTACGGGAAATGTAGAAGCTAAAGAACTCATAAGTATAACACATGGACATGAACTAAAGGGGGAAAACGTGGGTGGGAGAGGTGCTACAGGGTGGAGGGGAGAGAAGGGGGGAAAAGGGACAACTGTAATAGCATAATCAATAAAATATATATTAAAAAAAGAAAACATCCCAAGTCAAAAATGCATTGAATACTGCATTGTGCAGTGTATGAATTGTTCACCATTGTGATAGAACATCTGATGTGAAGCTCTACCCAGCTGCCACTGTCCTTCATCACACGAGAGTATCTTACCACATACACTCACCCAAGAAAAGATCAGTATTCAAAATCTAATGAACAGTTTCTACTGAGGGCATATCACTTTCACATCATTGTACAATCAACAAAATCTTAAGTCCAACCAGTGTGCATCTGGAACCATCCCTACAGTCACATTCTGGGGTGTGGGGGGTTAGGGCTTCAAAAGATGAATTTTGAGGGGATGCAATTCTGCTCATAACACCAAGTGACAGCCCTGTAAGGCTCCATGGACCCAGACTGGGCACCTTTCCTAATTAGCCCACCTCAGAGGTCAAGAAACCTTCTTCTGGATCATCAGCCCAGAGGCAGCATCTTTCCTAATTGACACAAACAGGGACGTATTGGGAACTCAGCTCAAGTGTTGATCAGTGCAGGGCCCCAGCCTGAGCTCCAGGAGAGAACCACTTCCACCACTTGTTGAGAGTGGATGCCCAGCCACAGAAGAGTCATCAAGAAGAGGGGACTCAACCTGGTGTTCACAGATGGCCTCAGAGTCCCACTTTTAGCAAAATATTTGGTATATTAGATGATTACCTTTTTCTGGAAAGCCCAGAGTTTTTGTGACATTCTCAGGGTGATCAGTAATCCTCAATAAGTGAAGAACCTCAGGTCCTTTCCCTTCTCCAGTGTCTCACCTTTATGATTCTCTTGCAATCTCCTCAGTGTCCTCCCTCCTGCACACACACAGCCACTCACAGTCCCTCCTTCTCCTCCCTCCCACCACCCATCTCCTTCACCTCCCTGCTATAACATAGTCTGTCTCCCAAATCACACACTTCTCTGTGACTCAGTGCAACTTTTCTCACAAATGGCACAACTCCAGACTAACCTGACCATCAGCCAAGTCACCCTGTCCCATAAAACAGCCTGGAGTAATTTATCACCCTCCTGGACATATGGCATCTGTAAGACAGCAGGACTTACATTCCTGGGAGCACTTTTGCCTAACACTGGCTCTCTCTTGTTCCCATTTGTGTCTCACCTCTGAGGCTGAGGTCCCCTCTCAGTTCCACACAGACCCACACTGGGAACTCAGCCCAGATTCCTCCACTTAGCTACAAGCACCTGTGTCTCCATAACACACTGCAGTGGGGCTTGGGGCCATGGAGAAGATACTACCACAGCCACAGAGCAGTTGCCATTGAGCATTACAGTCTCTCATATCTCATATTCTTAAGAGCCCTGTGGCTGCCCCAGTATCTCAGATGCCTTGGTGGCCATCTCCACTTCCACCAGGCTGCTGCTCAGGGCCCATCAGCCCTCATGACACCCCCTTTCCTTTTTTCTGCAAGGAGTTTTCTCTTTGTTGCCTTCTTGACTACAGGACTATTTTTCTATTTTCTCAGGATCATTGTCTTCCTACAAACCAAGATCTATCTCCTTGGGTTCCTCAAAGGGACCAGCAGGAATATCAGAAGTCCAACCTTCTGTTTCCTTCATTCCCCATCAAGTCTCCATAAACTCAGGGATGTAAGATTGAGATTCATTATTCACTTACAGGAGAATTGGCATTCCTGTTAGAAGGTTAGGCAGCCAGAGCCAGTTTTCATTGTAAACACCCATTTCCACTACATGGCTCATGCATCTACTCTGAGGGGGAAGGAGTGTAGGATGAGGGTTAAGATCATGGGATCTGGAGTCAACTACCTGGATTAGATTCCCATATCTGCTACTTGCTGGATGGTCTCAGGTGGGTTACTTGAAATCTCCAAGCCTCAGGCCACCCTTCTATAAAATGGGAAGAGTAATAGTGCTTCATGGGCCATTGTGCAGCTATATAAGGCAAGGTTGGAAGCACTTCATGTAGGGCTCAGCAAACCTTTCATTAAACACTAGCCAATGCCCTCTCAGACTGTTAGTGATAGCAGGGCACCCCATCAGCCACTGCACCTGCAGAGCATGAGTGCTGAAGTACATGCACACAGTGTACCCCATTCGTCTTGTATTTGATGTTCAGCACCATAGAGATGCAACATACTTCTCAGTAACCAAAAGGGATTCATCAAATTATAGACAGGCAAGGACAGATGTTGGGGAAACCCCTCCCTCTCCCAACATGAGCCCTCAGATCTGACTGAATTTGGGGGGAGACCAAGAGTTGTGCATGTGGGGAAATAAAAGATAAGAAAGAAGAAACTTTCTGAGTGTCTACTAGGTACACTCAGATATACAGGGCAAGGGAAAGATATAACAAATGTCAGACTCAAGAGACAAATTATCTCATGACAATGACACTTAGGAGGAAGAAATACAGTTTTTCTCATTTTGAGAAATGAGAAAATTACCACTTAGAGAAATTAGTAGCTTGCCTAAGATCACGTGAATTCACACTAGAATTTAAAACTAGCTCTGCTATATCCTAGAATCTATATGTATCCCACTTCACTGCCCTGTCATCTGGTGCAAAAGAGCTCATTCATTCATTCACTCATTTGTTTTTCCCCATGTGGAGCTGGAGGACCCAGCAGAGGAACCTAGCATGTGTGAGAGAATATATGTGTGATAAGAATCACAGAAGCCTGAAGGGGGAGGCTCTGACCTCTGACCTCTCTCTAAACTCCCTCTTTTGTGCCAGTTCATCATTTCAGGATCCCTCTCAGTGGCATCAGAGGAGCAGCCAAATTCTCCTTGCGTGGTAAGTCACATCCTGAGACAGGCTCTCCCAGCTGTGGACCAATAGCAGGGACACACTATAAAGGAAAGAAGCTAACACACAATCCCTCCTCCATCCATGCACCTACTCATAACCAGACACACGGCACTGACATGCATGCTCACTCATACTCACATGCAGGACCACACCAACCTGGCCAAGTCACAAGTGGGAAAGAGTTCAGAAAATTCGGGGGAAGGAAGGGAAATACAGACATTTTTGTTGAGGTGTCAGGGTGTGGAGACACAGAGAGTAACTCTCCAAATAGAACCTTACGGGAGGAGGCAAAAAGCTTCCTGGAGCACAGGGCTCCCCTCCAGCAGAGCAGGGCACTGAGACTGCCTGCAGTGCACAGACCTGACCTCCAGACACTTCTATAGGGAAGCAAGGGGAGACTCAGGCAGCAACTTCCCTAGGAATCTAACTAACCAAGCTCTGTGAATCAACATGGACAAGGCCTTGTGGTCCCCTAGCAATGGACCGAGAAAGTACCTTTGTTTCTCTCACAGCAGGTTATCTAGGGCAAGGGGCCCCAGGGTGGTCACATCCCACACCACATAAGTTCTATTTGAAAATCTCCAAAGGGAAGCTCAGTTTTGGCTTGGTCTTTCTACCCTTGGCCCACATTTGTGGAGCATCAGAGACTGTCACATCCCAAGACACTGGGGCTGAGATTCCTGCATAACTCCCGGGGGATAAATGGGTCAAGTGTTACCCAAATGTTATCCTTGAAGTAGGAAACTTTATGGAGATTGTTAGATAAATTGGGAGCAAAAAATCTCTAGTTAATAATCCTATTTCTGGGAAATAAATAGTTTTTGTTAAAGGCTCTGAAAAGTCTTACACGTCAAACCTGTTTAACTTTGTTCAATTCAGGTTTTTTCAGTCCTCATTTACCCACAAACTTTTTGCACAGAACACCTCTTTACTTGCTGCAGAACTAGGGTTCCTGGAATTCACATTAGGAAACACTTATTGAGACTCTGCTCATCTCAGATCTATAATCATTTTCCTCTCCCACCCTGACCCTCTGTGTCTTCTTCAGCTGAAGGGCGGATTGGGCATGAACATCCTCAGTGCGATCTTTTCTGTGATGGGAATCTGTCTCTTTATCACAGATATCTGTATCAACCCACATCATTTCTACTACACTTTGGAAAAGGTGAGTATCCCTCTTGACCAATGCTCCCCAGGGTCCAGCTCAGTTGTGTTTAGAAAACCCCTGGAAAGGCACTGACCACCAAGCTTCTTCACCAGACACTACAACAAACAGAGATGCTGTCAGAATCAGAGCGGAGTTTCAAGTCCCTGACCTGGAGCTTTACTGCTGTGTTACTCTAAGCATGTGACTTTTCTTAGTCTTAGTTTCTATGTTTATAAATCAGTACCTACCTTCTGACACTGGGGGAGAATTAAATGCAGTTCAACATGTAACACCCAGGTACTCATCAACCTGCACCTCTACTCACAGGGTCCTTCTCACTCATTACTATGGACAAAGGTGTCAACAAAGGTCTTTTGTACAGGACCAGAGGTTGAATATTTAAGGCATTGCTGGCCATCTGGTCTCTGTAGCAACTACACAAGCCTATGTGAAAGCAGGCATAGAAATACATAAATGAATGAGTTATCTCAGGTTGTAGGCAGTGCTATCCAGCAGATACATAATGTAAGCCATGTATGTGATTTTCAAGTTGCCACACTACAAAATGAAAAAAAGGAACAGGTGAAGTTAATTTTAATAACATTTATTCAACCCAATAAATCCAAAAATCTCATTTCTATATGTAATCCATCTAAAAAATGATTAATTCAATATATTGCATCTTGGGGACCATGTCTTTTAAATCCAGTGTGTGTTTTGCACTTACATCACATCTCAAGTCCTCCATGAGTCAGGGGACTCATGGCCACCAGATGAGAAAGTGCAGCTACAGAAGAGTCCCATGAAAACTCAATGACTCCCTCTGCACTACAGCCCTGTCCTCCCTACCCACTCAAGGTTATCACTGCTAGTGCTTGTCCCCTCTCCCTTGTCCCCCCTTCTCTTCTATCCATTTCCCTCCTCTGCTAGAGCTTTTCATCAGCATCTACACACCCTTCTCTTCCCTTCATCTTCAAAAACAAACAAATTACCTTTCAGTTACTGCAGCTACCACCCTATGTATGTCTGTGGCCATGTCTGAGAGAAATCCTTAAAAGAATTGTCTGCCTCCCTGTCTCCAATTTTCTCCTCTCATAGCCTCTCTTGAACTGACTCTAACTATACTTTCAGCCTCACTACTCCTACCCCATTCCAGTCACCCACCCCGCCTCTGGCCTCAGTCCACCCATCTGAACCAGGAGGGATGGACTTCATCACAGCTTTGCAAACAATGTGTCAAGTGCTGGGGAGCTCCAACGGCTCAACAAGCATGAATGAAGACTCACCAAATAATAACTATCACTTAAACTGCTTGAGGAACCCTTCTCCCTTGTGGAACATTTCTTTTTACTGTTTTACTTTTTAATTACAGTTGACATACAAAATTATATTAGTTTCAGATGCACAGTGTAGTGATTAGACATTTGTATACCTTATGAGGTGATCACCCAATCAGTCCTGTACCTGTTTGACACCACACTTAGTTATTACAAAATTATTGACTATATTCCCCATGCCATACTTTAATTTACTTGCCTCTGACTATCTTCAAAACCACCAATTTGTACTTTTTAATCCCTTCATTGTTTTCACCCATCTCCTAACCCTTGTCCCATTAGAAAGTTTTATTTATAAAGAATTTGGTTGTTAAAAACACATTTGAAAAGGACCAGCATCATTTGTGAAGACCTCTCCTCCCTAAGCTTCTGATTCCTTGCCTAACACATCATCACCCTGCATTCCCTCTGCCTGGACACCCTGTCCTACATCCCTGTCTTTAAATCTTGTCCTCAGCATGGATCTCTGTTTCCTCAGTGCCCCCAGGCAATCTTTCGACTCTTTTGTAGCTCTTATCATGTCTGATGTGAATTATAATCTGTATCTGTATTGTCTTTTGCCTCATCAGATTGTGCCTCTCAAAATGCTTTCTTAGCTACTCCTGCCAAATCATGTTCAATAAATGCTTGCTAAATTTAGAGGGAAAAGAAGGACAGTGCTAAGAAAGTTCCCTCCTAAATGGGCGGATTCTCTGAGGAGCTAGCTATTATACACACCATTTTAAAAATCATAATCAACAAACATTTGTTTGTTACCTACCATGTGTCAAGCACATTCACTTTTGTATTTATTCTCTCCTATAATTGGAATCTAAATGATTATTGGGATTATTCATCCCTTGCCCTTTTAGGATTAAAGTGGATTCTACCCTAACTCTCTCCCAGATACAGAAACAGACCCCATTCTCCTGGGTATTCTTGGAGAAGAGCAGGGAAGGGCTGAGATGTCTCCTGCTCCTCAGGTGAACTCTACTACTGCTAAACTAGTTCAGCTTGGGGGTCTTTGAACTGACTTCCTTCCTAAATTCAAGACAGCCAGAATTATTTCAGTCCACAAAATGCCACTGTCAGAAGCCAGAAAGGTTGTTTCACTGGCTCACTTTCCCTAAAGGTTCAGAGGGATGGTGGAGGTTTACATCTGAGCCCAGGCAACTACTGAAGACTGAAGATGGCACATCCCTCACATACCACGTGCCTTTCTTTGTCTTCAGGCTCCACCTCCCGTCCTGTGGCTCAGTCCTGTCTTTCTCCTCTAACCCTCTCACTTTCCTTTCTGCTCCTTGTCCATGCTCCCAAATTTCTATTCACTTCCTACACAGAACAGTTTCACTCTCTCACTGTCTGACTCCAGACCACATTCTTAGGTCTCGTCCCCTGTGCCTGAAATAAGGTATCAAGGTGTTGCCCTAAACATGACCATCCTTTCCCGAGGAACACTAGTAGTGTTTGCCCCTCACCCAAACCTGGTGAGACATTTTCTCCATGACATGGAGACAAGGTTATAGGGCTTCCTCAAATCCATAGCCACTGTCCATTGTAGAGACATGCTTTGAGGCAGGCCTAGAACTCCCAGGGCAGCACTAATAACCTCCTGTTTAGATACAATTCCAGCCCTCTGGATTCGCTACTTCTGGCATTCTGCTCATCTTCAGCCTCCTGGAGCTCTGCATTGCCTCCACGTGTGCCCACTTTGGCTGCCAACTGGTCTCCTACGTGAGTTCAAAGATCCTCAGTGGGTGGAAAGATGCGCCCAAAGAGGGTGGAAACCAGAGGGATCTTCAGCTTCCCCTTCTTTCCCAGGAGCAGGGGAGTTTGGTAATGTCTAAAGGCACCCTTGAATCCCCAGTTCTCACCAGAGCACCTCCTGTGCCTGTCTTTTCCAGGACACTGTGGTCTACCAAACCTTCTACGTGTCAAACCAAGTGTCCAACCCAGAACCAGTGAACTTGCCACCATCCTATTCCAGTGAGGCGCGGCACTCCAAATAGGCCAAAGGCTGTAGAAGCATCTTTCACTGGGATCAAAAGAAAATCTCCCCTTTTTGTGCTTTTGAAACTTAGCTTTTTCCTTCCCTGGCAAACTAAGGAACATGTCTGTCCAACTGTGTGCACCCTGAACTCCCTTTACTTGAGCCTGGTAAATTGTCTGTGCCTCTATGAAAAAGGAAATGGAAATGTCAAGTGGATTTTAGCAAAGCAGTTCTCCCTGAGGCAGCCACACTGGGGAAGTTGTGTGCATGTATTCATGTGCTTACCTGTGTGGGCTTAGGAGTTAGAGGAATAAATGTCTAAACAGCCCAAGCTTCATTCTTTCAGTCATTCACTCATTGAATAAATATGCACCAGGACTTGATATGTTTAAGTCTCTTTCATGGCAGGGGAATGGTGAACATGGGTGAACACACCAAGTCCTTGATTTCGAGGAACTTTTGCCTCCAAGGAAGAACGGCATGCAAGCAACTTTCTCTAACATGAAGCAGAATGTTGGGACGTATAGAGAAAACTGAGAGGGAAATGACTTATTCTGGCAGTGATGGGAATAGAAGAGAACAAGCCTGGTTGAGGAATCAATATTCACAGGGGCATTAAAGGAGAGAGTGGGCAGTTTATTTTCTTGTTGTTTTTTGTTGGTGGTGGTTTTGGGTGCAATAGGAAACTGCAGTGTTGCGAAGACCTTTGAAGACAGTGAGTCATCCACTGACATGATCAGTTCTTTATACATGGTTACCATGATACAATAGTTCTAAGAATATTGTCTTAATACAGCTCCCAAAATTATGATGCTAATATATCATTATATACAAAAGGATAGGGACTAATCAAACATAAATGACTATGTCTATAATTTCCAGATTTGCACACATTATTAACTTAAATATTGTTATCCATGATGACCAATTGGCATGCAAATGTTTACCTGACAACAGATTATGGCAGTAACCTCTAAGATCCAGGTGCCATCAAATTTTCTTTCATGGCAGAAGCCTGGCAATAACTTCTTTGTTGTTCGTACTACATACAGAACATGATTTTACTCTTGCATGTATTTTTAGGTTCTAACTTTATCCTAGAAGTTTCCTCTAAATGGCTCGCTGCTGAGTTCCATCTGCTTCTGCACCTGCGTCTTCCCTGACTGGGAGTCTTTGATTTCCCATCAGCTGCTCAGAAGTGGCTGAGGTTCCAAGGCCCCCCGTGGGTTTTCTAGAACTGAAAGGGGTTTAGGAAATCACAGGCAACAAAAATGGAGGATGGAGCATGTAATATTCTGGTTTCAGACCAGCCCTCCACCTATCTGTTTTGCAAGCTGAGACATTTGTTCATTGGGGTCCCCAAAAGGGGCTGGACCATTTGGGCCATTCTCAGAGGGCAAGGTGGTCAGAGTGAGCCTGGCCCTCTCTCCACATTCTTCTTCAGTGTTGCCTCTCACTGCCCCATCCGACTCCATACCTTCTTGGTCTCCAGATCTCTGATCCTCCACCTTGATCCTCCACCTTGATCCTCCACTCTGTTCTCAGAGCTTCCTTCCTGACTTGTCTGACCTGTGAGTTAACAAATGTGCCCCCAGGTCTGTCCCACCTCCTATAGTGTGGATGGCCTCAGAGAAAGCAACTTGAAACACACCTGGTGCTTCTCCAGAGAGGTGACACCTGCCACCTGCACTGCTGAAATCACCAGGGGGCTTGTTGGAACAGACTCCCTTTCCTATCCTTCTGCTCACATTATTTGCTCTGTGTACTAGGTCCCTCATCCCAGGGGGCCCATTCACCAACTGGGTGACAGATCACTGCCACCTGTGGGCAATAAATTGTGTGCTTGCTCTGCACTTTTCCACAAGCCATCCACTGCACACCTCCATTCACTCTATCCCCTCCTGAACGATGACACATGAAAACTGGAAGAGACCTGGGAGCTCTATGGGTAGATGGAAACACACAGGTGGAGAGGGAAGGTATTTTCCCAAAAGGCAGAAAACTGTACTTGAATAACAGTTAAAAAAACAGAAGGAAAAAGAAAAGACATTTTCCCAAGGTTATCAGCCCAGCTCAGAGCACAGGCAATACCAGAACCAAACTTCCAGAAGGCCAGTCCAGGGCTCCTTGCAGACACAGAGACACCTGTGGGAAAAGCAGATGATTTAGTTCAGAAGACAGTTTCTCCACCACCTGAGCAACCACCACTCTCAACCCAGCTTTCTCCCACACCCCCACACCCTATTCCAGTGCAATACTGCTGTCACCCAAGTCTCTAACACATATCATATTGTCAAGGTCAGTGGTTCTGCTTCCATCCTTATCTTTCTTGACCTCTGCAGGACTGGACCCAATAATGCATACTCTATTTAAAACATTGCCCCCTGGTTCTGCCCTCTGACATCTCCAGATGCCCCCCCATTCTCCTACACCAGCTCCTCTGCTCTTCTTGTGCCTCATGCATTGCTCCCCAGTGTGGCACTGCCCTTGGTCCTCTTCACATTCTATGTACCCTAGCCCATCTCTGGGGGCTTGAGATTCTAATCTCAAGCAAAACTGTGAGATTCAAATGTGCTAGTCAGTGCACAAAAGCACTGCAAATCGTTTACACCACTTTCCAGCCAGTCCTTGGGTTCCAGGACTTCATCATCTAATTTGGGATTTTTTATGAAAGACATCATTCATTTTCCTGCTTGATATGCCAGCCCCCATCTTCTCTACCTGGGAAGTTCAAAGGATACTTCCACAGGAAAACTGTCTTGGGTTCCTAGAGGGAAAACATCCCTCTAGATGATTTAGTTCAGAAGACAGTTTCTGAAATAAAAAGCAGTCTGTGGGCAGGAGTGAGGGAAGACATGTATAATGTGACCTAGCAGTGATGACATTGAGATTTGAACTTTGAGGGGTTTTTTTAACTGGGCTGGAAAAAATTCTGATTTTTGTATTGTAGCTGAAAAAAAATAGAACTGTGACTTTATGTTTCACAGTAGCTAATTGACACTTGTGTCATTTACAGCTCTTCCCAACCTCCCCAAGAACTTTGGGACATTACATTGGGAAAGTATGTTCAGTCTTTGGAGGGTGCATTATAAAGTGGGGAGGTGCATCATGTCAAGGAAAGGCACCCACTTCCCAGGACCCACCCACTCCCAGATGCCAACCCATGACTCACAGCACCAGACTTTTCCAGAAAAAGTCTGTACCATTATATGAACTCAGTCTTCCTGCTGCAGACACAAGGACTTCAACAGCTCCTAGCTCTCCCACCACACTCAGAATAAGGCTTGGCACAGAGCAGCTGTTCAATGAATATTTTCTAGAATGAAAAATATCCTCTTACCCCTAGGGAAAAGTCCCTTACATAGCCATTCACTCAGTCATTCAGCAATATGAAGTGAATGTTGTATCTCAGGTCCTGCAGACACAGTGGCGAACTAAGCACATGTAGCTCTTATTTTCCAAATTACATGCCTGAGTGTGAGACAAGGAAGTCACATCATCAGTTAAGTGATGCAGAGTGATGGGGGAAACAAATAGGATGCTCATACAGATGGTATGGGGCAATGGGACAAGGGACAGAGTTTCTGAATGCAAGACCTCTCTAAAGAGGAGATGTGAAGAAGGAGTAACTAGCCACATAGAAAGTGTGGTAAAAACCATCCCAGGCAGAGAAAAACCTATGCAAAGAACTCCAGTGCAGATGGAACATAGTAACAGAGACAGAGAATGCCTCAAGAAGGGATCAGAAAAGCAGGCAGTAGCCATGTAAAGAATTAGGATTTTATTCTGGAGCTAAAAGTCATTGGATGGCTTTAAGTAGAAGAGAGAGGTGATCTGGGTTAAGGGTTTAGAAAATCATGCTGCCTAGTTTATAGCAAAAAAAAATAGTAAGAGGGCAAACACAGGAAGCCAGGAACAGGGATATTTAGTGATAGTCCAGGACAGGAACTAGCAAACTAAGGCCTGTGGGCCAAATCCAGCCCACCACTTGTGTTTTTAAATAAAGTTTTATTGGAACACCACCATGCCCACTTGTTTACATATTGCCCCTGGCTGTTTTTGTACTACAACAACAGAGGTCGGCGGTATGATAGAGGCCACACAGCCCTCAGAGCCTAGAATATTTACTATCTTACCTTCTACCAAAAACGTGTGCTTACATTGGAGAAAGATGATGACGATGAAGAAGAAGAAGGAGGAGGAGGAGGAGGAGAAGAAATTGTTCTCCTTTGTGCCAGGACTGTGATGTTCCAAGCTACTCTCTCACAGTAGGAAAGAATTGGCAGGGATCCTCCCACCCTCTCTTGCCCTTGATAATAAGAGGCTCCCTTGGTGATGGGAACTATAAGCACATGACTGTGGGTAGGGGAAGTACACAGAGATATAAGTGCTCAATAAATACCTGTTCAATGCCTTGACTAGGTAGTGACAGTGGAGACAAAGAAGCAGATTTGGGACATGGTTTGGAGGTGAGCTCTCTAGGGCTCATAGACTGCATGGGGGAGCAGAGGAGGGGCTGAAATTAAAGCCAATGTCAAGATTTCTGGCTCAAGTAAGTGAGTGAACAGACACTTACTTACTAACATGGGTAGTAGGATGCAGTAGGAGAAGGTTTCAGGAGGAAAAACAAGACTTCAGCAATATTGCCCTCATGAACATATAGGAGCATAGAATTTCAGAGGTGGCTGAGAACTTAAAGATAACTTCCATTTGGTGCTTGAATATTTTCTACAGTTGCTCCCAGATTTATCATACCCCATCATCTGGGAGCCTGTTAGATATGTAAATTCTTTGACCCCCCACCCCAGACTTAATTAAAAAACCCTGAGGGTATGGTCCAGCAACCGATGTTTTAACACATCTGCCTGGGATTCTGACACTCACTCAAATTTGAGAACTGCTGCTCAACAGTATCAGCTCAAATGGTTGTTCCTTCTAATTTTGAGCACCTTGCATGGTGGTGTATGTTATGATGGTTTCTCCAAAGGCAGCCCACATCATCCTTAGGAAACTCTAATGAGAAGCTTATCCAAAGAATGAACCAAGTCTAAGTGGAAATCCAGATAAGACACCCACATCCCAAGATACGACTTGGAATATAAAAAGATGATCCTTGCCCTTCAGAATTGAGCAATTGGAATTCTGGATAGGACTCAGTCCCAGCACACCCATGCCTTGTCAAGGCCTCTCAAAGACCCAAGTCACTCACCTTACCTTTGGTCACCCCTTCTCCCACCTTCTGACCCAGGAAGACTATTGTCAACTACACTTTTTTAAGTCTCTTAAAGTCAAATCACCAACTAGGAATCAATAGAAAGAGGCTGTACAGATGCAGAGGGTGATGAAGGCAGGAAAAGGCAGACATTGCCCAATTAAGAGGCCA